TTAACTACATATGTGAACAACTGAATAACCAGTCGATAAATGTTGGCATCCGAATGGAAATCCTAAAAGAATTTTTATTAAGCTGTACCATGAATATAAATTTCAGATTTGATGACACACTTTACAGGCAAGTAGCGATGGGCTACCCACTGGGTCCCATTTTGGTAGACTTCTTTCCACGTAAATTAGAAAATGAACCTTCGAAAAACCTTAACGAAAAGTTCTCATTTTATTGCCGGTATATGGATGACACCTTTATTTTCCGTGATAATGACTCTGATAGGAACACAAAAATGGTTTACCACTTCCACCAGTACTGGATATGTTAAATTTACCAAACCATAGCCAAATGTTTGTTCAAACCTTTGCAAAACTTGTTATAGATCCTGTGGAAGTCTGAGCAGACAAATTTGACAGAACAATCCAGAATCAACGTCTCTATCTCACAGTGGGTTTCCTTTACTTTCTCAGTTGTGATGGGGTTGTGTCGCTGAGACTTAACTTAATGAGTATCTGATCTATGGCTTCAATGTCGCTCCAAGAATTAACTTTATTTGCTTTTTTACCTGGCGCGTCCTGTAGAAAGTCAATCTTGTTATTTATCAGATGGTCGTGTACCTGTTTTGCAAAACTCGCACTTCGTTTCGTTTTCAACCCGTGGGTGTAGGCATACGATAACCAACCAATATTGAGCTGTGCAGGATTTTCTCCTCTTCCTGAAATAGCGTTCAACCACGTGGTTGTCGCTCAACTTCGATGGAAACCTTCGTGGAAGATTTACAAATTAACAATTATAAGAATCTGTTCCGATTGCTTGTACTATATAATTCAACAATTTGAACTTTAAAAAAAGTGATAATCTTACTATCCCTTGTAAACGTTGTACTTACCTCAATATTGGTTGGCTATCGTATGCCTACAACTACGGGTTGAAAACGAAATGAAGTCGATTTTCCTGCGCAACATGGAGGACTGCTGTTTAATCCAATAATGATACGACATGGGTCAGACAATGAGTGTATTTATATATATATATCAAATATTTAGCTGTTCAAACATTACTTACTTGTAGACAATCAACTATTTGTCATTATATCATACTTGATCGTGTCTGTAAAAATGGCATGCATTTTCATGTAAATTTATGTTTATATGAAATATAAATTATTATTATTATAACATTCTGCAAAGTGGTGCCATTGGTGAGAAAATATTTTAAAAACTGAGTGAATCGCAGAATAGGGGCAACCTAATTCAAAAATGGAACAGATGAAAAAATGGCAGCCAGTGACACAAAATTTAAAAGTATGTGGTCAGCGTTGTTTTTGGACCTTCAGATTAAAGTCGTAAAGTATGAAAACTATTGAAGTAAGGTACAGGTACCAGGGTGTTTGAAAATACAAAAAAGGAACACGCTAACCAAACAACAGCGTTTTGTGTTGTTAACACAGTACATATAGAAAGTATATATCAGTAGATTAACTATTTAAGCTACACGAATTGCGACAACAATATCATTCACAGGGTATCTGCAGGAGTTTACTGCAGTAAGTGCAGTTCACACGGCCTAATCATTTGAGCAGTTTTGTGTATAACTTCAATTTGTATATTACTTCCTCGAAGATTTTCACAGTTCCTTAAGTCCCAGACTACACCTACTAATCTGCCATTTCCGCAGTCGTGAGCGAAGTTCAAATATTAAGTCCTCTACTAGCAGACAACGTAGCGTCAAATACCCCACAACACGCTCAGGTTGTGAGGCTTATTGTCAGATGCCTGTATTGCGATTTGAGAGAGCTGAGAGGAAAGGTAGGTTAATTCGGAAATCTCCAATCACACCTACACCTTTAAATAATAATCCTGACTGAGACATGGCTAATCCCCATTATCACCGACAACGAAATCAGTATAAGTATACGTTTAATAGACCCACCACTCACTGAACTACCAGACTCTATATGGTTTCATTTCACCAAGCATTTACTGGGTGCCATCTACCGATCACCCACCTGTGGAGCAAAGCCCAAACAGCTACCGCTCAGCGCCATGACAGGGATACGGTACTTCTGCTATGACCAAATCACTATAGCTGGGGTTTTCAGTGCCCCATCTCTTAGCATTGGCTCGAAATATGCTCAGGGAAAATTCGGTCGAAATGTACTATAAACCATTAGAAATACAGGACTGATTAAGCATACTGGAAATGACATTAGGTGGGGCCCAATTGGAAAGTCATCGAAACTAGGTCAGATTCTAACTAGTGACCAGCTACTTGTCGAAAATGTCCAGATCATAACTCCTTAGGAAGAAGTGACCACGCAGTCAAAGGACTCGATCTTGCTCTCTCTGAGCGCTTGCAGGGGAACGCCACGCAGCGTGTCTGTGCCACAACAAGGCGGATTATGCTGCAACGCGAATGGGCTGAGTTATCTGTGGATGAGCGCTGGGGAATGGTAAAAGAAATAATTCACGCAGAAATCTTGGATACTGCCCCCTTAGTCACAACGCAGCCGAAGAAAGGTCCTCATGCTTGAAGAGAGGTAGGCAACGCATTATGAAAGCAGAGCGGAAGGCTTGACATATGTGGCGAACGTCCATGGGTCAGACCGACCACGATGCATACCTGGAACTCAGGAACAGGTGCAACACAAGAGCCAGGGGTGACAGGAGGTCATTTCAGGCTAACCTTGCCAAAATCTCCTAGCGATTCCCACAGGCTTGTATCGATTCATGTTGGAGAGGAAACCAACCAACTAGAGGGACATGCGCCTTAGTAGGTCCAAACGGTCAATATCTCACTAGTCTGAAGATGGCTAAGACACTCAGTTTAGCCTTCGCCAAACAGTTAAACAGCAGTGTGGGCATTACCGGTATGGACTAAACTGGCTGCACTACTACTTCACCGGGGGAAAACCTAGTGGCTACTCTCCAAACAAACCCAACAATACTACTAGGGAACCTACAGAGACTCACATCTGGAAAGTCCTCAGGTTGTGACGAAATAAGGCCATCTTTTCTGAAACAGTGCACCGAAGCTCTCTGTAAACGCCTATATGGCTTGTTCCAACACTTGATGGATTCGGGGAAACTGCCAAGGGAGTGGAAAAGAGCCATCCTTTCTCCGATTTTCAAGGGTGAGGATAGGCAAAATGCCACCTGTTATAGACCAGTAGCGATACTCTCAGTGGTATCCAAAGAGCTGGAAAGTATAATTAGCCATCACATCAGAGAGCACCTCGACTAGACTAATAGGCTGCATGAAGCACAACACGGTTTCAGGAAGGCAGATCCTGTGTAACAAACCTACTATTGGGCATCATACTGGGATATGAATATTCCAATCCATGTGGTCTTCCTAGACCTTGAGAAGGTATTTGAAACAGTTTATCATGACCCTCTCGTACACGAAATAAGTCAGGCGGGTAAAGGTGAACTGCTTCTGTCATGATCGAAGGACTACCTAGATGAAAGGAAATTCTGCACTAAAGTCAATCGAGTCCGATCATCTTGGCACAGCTCGTCATCAGGAGTTTCGCAGGGCTTTGTCCAAGGACCACTGCTATTTTTTATTTTTACCAATGACCTACCATGTCGTCTAAGCTGCCAGACTCTTCTATACGCTGACGACGTAAAGATATGGAGGACTATAAAGTGTTCGGAAGACTCAGATTGTCTGCAGGCAGACCTAAAGCTTCTGGAAGACTTGGCACTGGCCAGTGGTATTGTGGTGAGAGATGGTTGCTAGCCAAATTGGTTGACAGTAATTGAGGTCAAAGGTCAAGATGGACAGGCGGATACAGTTAACATATAGATGAACTGACACAGCCACAAGAGATGCAAGGTTAACTTTCTGTGAGAAACAACCAACCAACAGACTGTATTTTCTACTAACATTAACCTAAAATAATGTACATCAAAATCTATAAATACGTGTTGATTTTCCGTAATAAACGTTCTGTTGCCTGGCCCTTGTCTTCTGTTGTTACAGTATGACTTTCAACCTGAAAAGTGCAAAGTAGTAAAATTACGAACCTGTAGGCTACAGAACGCTAGTTATACCCTGTGCAATGAAAGCTTTCACTGTACTCCCTCTTGGGAGGAGTCCAAAGGCGGATGACAAAAGGATTAAAGGGTCTCCGAAACAAACCGTATGATGTACGGCTAAAGAAATTAGGTCTCTTCACAGCTAGCTACTGTCGGCTTCGGTGGGACTTGATTACTGCCTATACGATAACAAATGACCACAAGCACCCAAACAAAGGTTATCTGCCTCTAAGAATGTGTGGGCTTCCTTCTAGGGATCTCGAAGAGAGCTAAGACTCGAGTGCATCCCCACTTCTTTTCACTGCAAGTTTGGTGTACACTAGCTCATAATAAAACGACATTGGATACTGGAACTGAGGTATACTCAGCTCCGACACGAATGGTAAATGTGGTGACAGTCGAGATAACCCAGCACTTAAAAACGAAATGAAGTTCAAATTAAAAAAGCAGGCATTGCAAATCATGTTATAGTAATATTGCTCGAAATGAAGCAGGAAACATTTACAGGCAGAGATGTACAAAGGAATCAATTGTGAAATAGCCTTGAAGAGAGGTAAGTAGAAATGCAATAGAACGGTTCAAACTCGTACCCCGAAAAAAGCAACTTATCTGTGTTACAGTAAGCAGTGAAACATATATTATATAGGTGGAGTGATGAGAGTATCAGTTATTTTCAAGCATTGGTTTTGTAGGGATTGTTTGATTTGTTGGAGGATCTCATCATCTAACTAATGTCAGCTCATGATGAAATCCTCCAACTAAGTATCAGTTATGTCTGCCTGAATGGAACATTAGTTTCCTTACTCTCACATTATCTCCAGAATCATATATACCGTCAACTACCTAATTTAAAGGTAATTTCTATGGGCATTAATAGCTGTCCGATAGAATTGCAATATGCCTCAAGCCCTTTGTCTTGAAAGTAGAACTGCAGTCCATTGTTTAAATTATCCACGAATGATTAGTGAGATGCGCAGGTTTTTGAAATCTAATGTTCGCACTTTTTTAACGTGTTTTTTACCGTTGGGACATAATGTGACGTTCCGGATGATTTTTATTGTGTTATAAGGACATTAAAATGTGGGTGGACGGCATTTTTATCAAATATCTCCGTCACACAAAATTTTCTGCCATCCAATGCATAATAATTCTCGTATTGCTTTTCTGCCAAATTATTTACTCGGAATTTTCTACATTCTCTCCGGTGTCGTCTGACGATTCCCACGTTCCATTCAAATTCACTTCATCTTATTATGAAACAATTCTAGTTGATGATGGGAGCTTGTACCAGCATATAATTCCAACTAGTGCACATATGGGAGTTCCTGAGCCGTTCAGTGGGAATCCCTCCGGTGATGTCATATTTTCTATTGTCGAAGCTGATACTCCGGATTTATTTCAAGCTACTTGCAAAAAAATAGGGAAGTTCTTCTTTATTCATATGTCTGTCTCGTTTGACAAACCTACAAGTCATAAAAAACGCAGCTACCACTTAAAAATTAAAGCAGTTTTTACATCTCATGCCAATGCATCAGCCAAAACAATTCGTTTAACCAATACTACGGAAGTTGTTGTGAATGTACTTGATATGCACGCAAATTGCCCTATTTTTTCCAGGAGTTTATATCATTTTGTAGTCCCTGACAATATCAGTATTCGCGAGTCTGTCGGCAAATTATCGGCTAGTATATCAGGTTCTAATTTAAATGCTGAGAATTTGTTGTATGTGGACCCATCAGAACTTTCGATTCCTTTCCGAGTCGATATGTACTCAGGTCATATATTTCCCACTCGTCCCTTGAAAAGTTATTTTACTAATACTGGATACCTAAGAAATACACATATAGGATCAGAATTTGACGTTTTCGATGTATCCAACTATTCCTTTAATGTCTTCGCTGCCAGTCGTGGTGGCATTGATGGTGCAAACTGCAACATGGTCAGCACTACCACTGTTGAAGTAAAAATTGCTAAGTCTAAGTTTTCAGACCTAGTGATAAAGGTTCAACCGTTTGAGGAAATTAACAATCCAGGTATGGCTGGTGTTGCTTATGCTCGTGTTCATGTGATTGATCCTCTTCCATCCACTGACTCATTAATCATACTCAAGATTTTAGAACCAGATGTGAGAGGGAGGTTTGAGCTTGTGCCAACTCATGAGACAAATGAATGGTTACTCCAAACGAAGTATAACATCCACTATGTTTCATTAAACTCTTTGATAGCTTTTACCCTGGAAGCTTACAAAGTTCCTGCTACAATTTCTAATTCGGATGACAGTACTATATCAAATCATGTCTCACAGTTAAAAATCAGCATCCCAGTGGTTTCTAAGTCTAAATATAAATTATCTTTACCTCCAGAAATAAGAATGCGCGTATCGGAAGCTGCTATTATAAACTCAACTATTGGAATTTTAAGACCTTACACACTTTTTAATATGACCAATACCAGCTTTGTTTTCACGGACCTTCGTAGTCAGCATGAGAAATCAAAGTTAGGTGAAAAGATTAGATTGACCAAGAGTGGGTCTCTCGTTGTTGTACAATCACTTGACTTGGAGAATGATGTCAATGATCAAAAGTCACCAAGAATTACTGAAAGTAACATAATCACCATTCCTTTCACTGTTGTAGACGGAAATAATTTGTTACTAAGTAGTGCTGCAGAATCACGTGTGGTCATTGAAATTTTCGACATTAATGACATGGATCCTGTTGTACAGAATAATGGGTCAATATTTGAAGTGCCAGAAAACGCTTCTGTAAACTCCTCTGTCCTGTCCATTGTAGCACATGATCCGGATAAGTCGCACACAGATCTGTCGTATATCTTGTATGACGCTGAATTCTTACCATTTTCTTTGTCTGGTCCTCATCATAATAAGCTAATAATATCAAAACCTTTGGATGCAGAAACTATGCCATCTGAATTCACAGTACGCGTGAAAATAACGGATTCCGGAATTCCACTACCACGTAGTGTTCTTGCTGTTTTTGTCATTCGGATATTAGACATTAATGAACACTCTCCAGTTTTTGTGGAGGATTCTTGTGAAATATCTCTACCTGTCACTGACGAAGGTTCACTTTTCATTCAAACTGGTTCGTCTTCACCAAGTCTGAATATAGGTCGGTATTTTGCTGAAGATTTAGATCGTGATGGTCAGAGTTCTATTACAATACATATCGCTGCACGCAGTTTTCCAAGACCATGTTTTAAAGTTGATGAACAAACAGGGGATTTGAGTGTTATCTGTCCATACTTAGGATCTCCAGGAAGTCAAATTATTCTCAATTTACTAGCTTCAGATGGCACAAAGGCTTCTAAGAAATCATGTACTTTGTCGTTAAATTTAGTGCCTATTCAAGAATTAGCTGGCGCTAATTTTACAAGGCGTTGCAAGTCATCTAACATATATGATGAATTACAAGCATTGAAGGTTCAAAAAAGAAGGTTTGAATTTTTACTGAGTCAGAATACTCCTTACGAAAGTCAAATCAATCGTCATCGACCGCAGTTTCCAACAGATCTGCCGACTCGTATACATATTTTTGAAAATCTTCCCATTGGTACAGTTATTTTAAAGTTTGCAGCCTCAGATGAAGATGGTGCAGATTATTCAATGGCTGGGCAGATTATTTATGGATTGGAAGCCTTAAGATCAGTTGCTTCCGAGACTGAAGCATCCTTTGTGGCTGACGCAGATATTAGACAGGCTTTTGTGCTACAACCAACTGCTGAATTGGGTAGAGAATACAATAACAACACAGGGACATTTTGTTGTGGTGTCTCCCTAACTGTTGCAGCACCTCTTGACAGAGAGGTTATCTCCAGCTATAGCTTGATATTACGAGCATGTGATATGGGACAACCGCAATTGTGTACTTTTTCTCCACTGCACATTTTTCTTGATGATGTTGACGATAATGTCCCAGAGTTCTTACAGCCAAAATCGGTTCGTCAGTCAATTGATGTACCTCAGATATCAAATAGTCCTTCATTACCGTCAACTCATACAAAGACAGAGCGGGGTGTGGTTGCCGATTATATCAGTGTCCCTGAAGATGTGCAACCTGATACAATACTAGGTCAGGTTGAAGCTGTTGACTATGATGTTACAAGTGAAATTCGTTATCATTTGTTGAATTATCAAGACACTTTCAAGGTAAGTGGAATGTATAATTTACTTCTTTTTTCTATTCCTTTATGTGTACACTGTGTCATCGGTTTTCACTGCAGAGTGATTTCCTTACTTTAGCTGTGTTTGTTTTATGGGTATTCACACAATTTTTAACTGTTAGTAGTAGGTCTGTTCGGTCCATCCTCCTTCCTGTCGGTGTGGCCAACTAGTTTAAACTCTTGGATTTCAACCAGTGGAACATAAGTTACAACACCTCTCCATCTACCCAGTTTTAGGTAGTACGGTGGTATAATTAGCCCTTATAGATTAGGTCTACCGTTTTGCCATGTACACGGACATCCACAAAGTTGTTAAATAACAGCATGATAGGTGGTGGACTTTTGCTGCCATTTTTACTTATTTGCCTTGGTCTCCTTCGGTCTATTAAACAAATTGTCAATAACAGAGGCAAGTATTGGTAACTGCATGATAACATGTCTTTGTGCTTTTTCTAAATTCAATAACTCAGGGATGATGATAAATTCCCTACAGAAATTTTCCCCAGCGTACAATATTATGCATTCTTAAAATGCATGAAAAGAAAATAGTTCATGCCTACGAACTCACAGAATTAAGAGAAAATTTTGTTGACTATGGTTACATATTACATGCTTAAGTGTGCTATATTATGTCTACAGTCTTAAAAAGCTGATCTTTGATCATAGAAAGCCTTTCCAGGATTAATCTTTCCTGGCATTCTCATCTAATTTGAAAAACGGTACACTTGTAAAGTTTGTTATCTGTAGGAAATGCTGTAATGAGGGATTTCATCAGATGCCCATCATTCATTTAACCTATGACCTTTACTGCATGCCAGCTGTTTAAGGAAAATCTATCCCAACCACCAGTTTAATGATAGTGGGTATCGGCTTTGACCTACAAGGTGTTGAATAAAACACCTCAGTTGACCTTTCAACTTTTATAAATAGTGGGCCATATGGTTAAATTAGTTTTTAATATTATGTGACAGCTGTACATGTTTGACAGAAAAAATTACACAGTAGTATAACAAGGAGACGAAACATCTTTGAAATACAGATGTCATGATCTCAAATCGATTTTTCATAATTATGTGGAAACTGTATCACATATTCAGTTATGCTAAAGTTTGGTCGTTCTCAATGAACCTGGGATACAAAGTTTTTGGCATATAGCGACAATTTTTTTTCTCGTTTGGTGTATGCAAAGGGATATTTCACTACATTGGGAAAATCGTATAACTGCAACACTTATGGTAAAACTAGTTTTGTTCCCAGTAATAATGTTCTGTTGATATGGCACATGCTTCAGCATTCATTTCGGAAAGAAATTTTTATTTATTACAGATCTCTTCCTTATCACACTGTGTTGTCATTCTTTGATGACCGTATATCTTAAAATGAAGATATTACCACTATTAGTCAGTAAATATGGACTGTAATATATTTAGAGTATGATATAAATTAGATGTTCTTTGTGTATTGTGAGTTAGCGTTATAATACTCAAAAAAGACGTTCTCTCAATTGTTTTCAGATACACCCTCGAACAGGCAAAATTCGTTTGAAGACAAAACTCGATCGAGAAAGTCAAGCAGTATACGAAATATTAGTTTCTGCTGTTGGCTATCCTCGTGGAAGTGATCAAAGCCCTCAAATCAAGATACCATACTCTAATTTAATGCAAGCGTCTCAAGCAGCTGATCATGAAACTTTTCTTTCTTCCACAACACGTGTTCGTATAGTTGTAACAGATATTAACGACAATCCTCCAGTATTTCGTTCACCTGGTCTTCCTCAAGACTCTCAGCACATCTATTCCAACTCATCTGACATAAATGGTGTAAATGCTTGGCTTGGTTCAGATGGATATGTTGTTTATGTCCCAGAAGATATTCCTGAAGGTGCTTATATAACAACATTGTTGGCTACCGATAGAGATGAAGGAAGGAATGCATTTATCAGGTATAGTTTATTTGGGAAACAAGAGAGTAGTGCGACTTGTTTTCATACTGACCAGCTCACTGGTGTTGTACGTTTAGCTGCAGGATGTGATTTGAGAAGAGGTACTCGCACACATGTACTTACTGCTTGGGCTATGGATCAGGGTGCATCACAATTATACGCTAATATATCATTCATTGTTCACGTGTTGTCTGTAAAAGTGAATGTTTTCCCACCGCGTTTCACAAAACATCCAGCTCTTTTCAGTGGATGGATACAAGAAAATCAGCCTTCTGGAAGCTTTGTTTATTCAGAACGTGGTCTGAAATCTAAACTGAAGTTAGATGCAATGGATTCTGAGGGGTTAAATGTTTTCTATACTATAATCGGCGGTTCAGGATTCGGTTTGTTCAATATAGACAACGATGGTAAGTCCGAGTGTACACCCCCTAGTTTTAAATAGTTTTGTTGTTTTTGTTAATTTCCGCGTAGGCTAAACGCTTTGATGAACGCTAAAAAATATTTTCTGTGTAGAGAATATATATAAAATATGTACTTCTTACTAGTTTTCTGAGTGTTGTTAATTGGCTAGATGCAATTTAGCCGACGAAAGTAATAAGATGTCCTACGCATACTCGTCTGGATGCACTGACAACTTTTATATCACTAATCAGCATGTAGTGTTCAGAAAACATACGAGCTGACATCAGTTAGAGAACCGTTGGAAAACCTGGGAGTACTGGACAGCTGTTTTTTTTAGCAGTACGACTAGCAGGGTTCGGAACCAGGACCTTCCTGTTACGAGGCGAGCTCTTAGACTATTCAGCTACTGGGACTAGATCCGAAGAATCAATCAACTTCCACGGTGTGGGCAGCCGGGAAGTAACAACCGCCCACACACTTCCAAAAGCACACGAAGCCTTCCTGAGATCTTCTCCTGGGACTAGATCAATGGACATGAATTAACTTCTGCAATTCGTGATATATATATAAAAAGTGAGAAGTCGTAGCCAGTGGAGTCCACTAAGTCAGGCAAGTGGATAGTTACTCACCTGTGGCACTGGCTGCCGGTTGTGCTAAATATATATCATGAATTGGCAGAAGTTGGAATTCATGGGCTGGCCGTTGGATCGAGTCCCAGTAGCTGAATGGTCTACGAGCTCGCCTAGTAACCGGGAGGTTCTGGGTTCGAACCAGTTAAATCCCTGCAAACCAACGCTTGATTAGCAATATTTCCTTGAAAACTATAATATCACGCATTCCAAATTGCAGGGCTGTGGCTCATCAGTCTAGGCGCTCGGCTTTCTGTCATTGGATCATGGGTTCGGATCCCCCTCCTCGTGCCGAGGTTTGGGCAACCCCGGGTAGTACAACCACCCCTCACACAGTAAGTGTTACACATTTCCAACTGCATGGAATTGCAAGTGGTTGCTCGGTAACATTGAGTTGACGAATCATTTAAAAGAAAAAAAAGCATTTCTGAAATGAAGATCCATATAGTTTAGAAATCTTTATGCTGTGTGAATGATTGGTCAACGTTTAACTTTGTAGAGATATGCATCAGTTTATGCTGCGCTTCCCTCCTAAGAAGTAAACATAAAAGAAAAGTACAGAGATGTTAGAATACGATAATGGACTAAGATGGGTGAAAGAGTTGGGGGTGTATAGAATTTTGAAGAGTGAATACATCCCCTCCATAGCGAAATTTTTGTTTTATCATGTTATCATGAGTCTTCAACTATCTGCCCTTAATATCACAAGGGTACTAAGCAGATAAATCACTCCTGTCTACTTTAACTGTAATGGACCGAGATGTTCGGTTGCTCTTGACATGTTGGCTCCTAGTATACGGACGCACCGACGATGTCTGAGGATCGATATGTTGTTATTTTTGTGGATATTGACTAGCAGGGGATACCCGTTGCAAAAGAGGTGGCTATCATGACCCAAGTGACCTAATGGGTAACGCTTTGGCGTTTGAAACGATGGGTGCTGGGTTCGTGTCTCAGTGGGGACACTCACTGGGGATCGCAGATATATCCAGCCAACTGGGAAGTTCCAAATAGGGCGAAATGCATATCCTGATTCCACTGCTAGTCAACACCCACCGAATAACAACTTGGTGACATGATTCAAACTCTTTCGAAATGTCACGGTTTTATTCAGTCCTTGTTACTGTCTAGATTCTGAAGATCTTCCCTTAGTGTTCGTCTACTTTTTCTCTAGGGCTGCATTACTTTATCCTCTGAAGTATTTGATATTAAGTGTATTATTTTATATCGATATGTAAAATAGCAAAGAAGTCACCCTAACAACTGCTGCTTACATTCCTTTAGTAATGTACATCGTTTCTATTCTACTAATATTTTTGTTCATTTTTAAGGTTATGTATACAGCATGAGAGAACTAGACGCTGAGGCTGTACAAGATGAAGACGGATATTGGTTAGTTATCTACGCTGTGGAATCTTTTCATCATCCGACACGATCGAGATCTAATCCTCAAAATTTGGAATCTCTACTAATCTCATCCTCTCCAAGTGGACCTTTACATACAATTGCTGAGTTATTTATTGAGGTAGGCTTTCATATAGTTGAAATATTTGTCTACTATCAGCCTCTGTTTATTTTTTATTTTTTAAATTTAATTTTTATTATGGCTTGATTCCACACAGTATTTCGTTACAAGTATGGAATTTTCAGCACGTGATATCGGTAGCCTAAATTTAGCAGGCCGACTATTGATATCAAGTGTGTGTCGGCTGGGTATCGAACCTCAGACCATGTGCATGGTCGGTGAGAGTCCTAACCGCTGTGCCACTCTTTCCGGCAGTTTCCAAATTTACCAGAAGTTAATTGAAGTTTCAGTGTCCCTCATTATATGCGGGAAGTCGCGCAAATGGGTTTAATTTCTGACTTAAGACTATTGGTTAAATTAAGATTTAATACGATAATTTCCTATCAGCCCTTTTTATAACACAAGAATAGTGAAGTTTCTTTTTTATGGTAGATTTTTGGTGTATACTACTGGAAAAAGCACAGAGTTTTACAATTTAAAAAACGATGCACTTTTCCCTGTATATTACGTTAGTGGACATCATACTGTTTTCCACTAAGTTCTCTTATTAGATTCTCAACAACTGTGGTTTACTGATTACTGATTCTGTCACCCGCGACAAGTTTTTTCACATGCCAGACTGTGAGCCACACATTCACTTAATGTGTGGGGACTGATGAGAACTATTCAGTTGAAGTAGATTAGGACTCGAACCCGGGACATATTGACTAGACATCGACTGATTGAGTTAGTGAGCCACTAAACCAATAAATCATAATTTACATTTACCCTACATCTTGGCTATGCTTCCCCAAAATTATTTCGGGGAATTATCTATCACCTTTATGTTGTCTTCTTTCGTGTGCAGATCTTCTAAATGTCCTAAATTCAGTCGAATGCACATCTGTGCATAGTTCCGCATTCATTTGTCATTCAGTCATGCTTAACAAAATAATTGTATCTTTAAAAAAGTTAATAAAATTATACCTAATTCTTGGTTGTTGATTATGTAAGCATAACTTTGTACACCGACTAACTTTTGAACATATAAATTACAACACTAATCTGTTCTCTGAAAAGCTTTTTTTTTTAAAGTATGCCTCATAAGCTTCGAATTAGGCTTTCATTTCTCCCAATTTAACGGTTGATAATTCGATTAAACCCTGGGTAGTAAGTAACCAGTGTTATGCGTCTGGTCCTTGGTTTTGTTGGAGATCGAATACTATCAGTCAACTTTGAAATGTGGCCATCATGCTACGTGGCTCGGTCTGTCTGTCTGTATTCGACATAAAACTTTGCACCGATGTGCTGCAGTTCAAGTCACCACACTCCATGTAGCAAACAAAGCAAGAGAAGAAAGTAGAAGAAATACATAATACAGACAGTAAACAGAGGTGAGAGACAAAGGAATAGTAGTAACGAAGAACAATATAGTTTCATTGGAAGTCATAAGTCACAAGGAGTGGATGCATCTCCGCTGTCATTGAGAACGAGGATTTTGAACCATATCACCAATTGTTTCCAGCCGTTGGTTTTTACCGTCCCGAGGATCCCAACGTGGCTAGCTGGCTTAAACTAACTGTCGTGGATTTCATTGACTGATGAAGCTATGTTTTGGTTTGACCGCCGCTAGCTCTTTTCCAGCCTGGCCCTATATCAGCTAACATTGCCCGTCGAGGAAGGCGATGACTAGGCATACGTAACACATGTTCTAACCATCTCAGTCGATGTAGCTTCACAGTTTCGTCTATTGATTTCCCTCCTTACCTAGCACTCGACCGAAGCCTAACCTCAATATTGCTCACCTTATTATACCACTTCACACGGGAGATAGAACGCAGGCACCTATGATCAAAGACAGCTAATCTTTTCATGTCTTCCACTCTCAATGGCCAGGTCTCACAGCTAGCCATAAAGGAGGACGGAGCGGACTGATGAGCAGTATACACGCCCTTTGGTCGACAGCCAGCTGGATATCACGTCTACGCCAGAGACGGCGTAAACTGGCATATACGAAACTAGCCCTCTGTATCTGTGCTGAGATTTCGTCAGAGATCAACCCGTTGGTGGTTGATGGTACTTCCCAAATAAGTGAAGCGGTCAACGTGCTCTACCACTTCACTCCCTATTTCTAAACTAGGAGTCAGTGTAGTCCAGTCCTGTAACATCATCTTACATTTGGCGGGAGCGAATCGCATGCCAAACGTGGCTCGGTATTACTGAATGAATTCAGTCTGCACCAAACGAAGGACTAGACGCATGACATTAATTATTATCTAGTGTTCAATCAAAGTATCCGTTACAGTCCTACAGTAGGAGGTCAGTCTCAAGGCCGAATAACACAGTTGTGGCGACGTCTCTAACTGTAGCTCTGGGATGTCCCGGGGATTCGAATCTCAGAAGGGACATGAGTTCCTTCAGGTTGCAGTACGCCTTGCTGACTGGTGATTGAGTGCCAACTAGCAAGAAACCTAGGCCAGACTGGGCTTCGTGCCAATTGCCTCCAACCATCGAATATCAACTATTCACAAAGTGCACCATGATGGCGAGCCACCTAAACTGACTGATGGTGGCCACATTGCCAACGTGACTGATAGAATTCAGTCTGTACCAACCAAGGGACTAGACGCATGGCATTAGTTATTACTTAATGTCCAATCAAACAGGTTCTATTAATTGAATTGTCCGAAAGGGATACATTAAACTGTTAGTTTTTGAGAGTTTTTTTCTTAAAAATAAGGAATACATATTAGTGCACTTCAACTGATGTATCCTGTTGACCGACTATACAAGAGGCACGACAGTCCAGCATGTCTCTGCTTTCAGGTGATCCAGAAAGCTAGCTACTTTATGACTTTCTTTCACAAGTATAATAACTTTTTAAATTAGATTATGGTACAGAGGAGACTTGCAGCTCTCGGGCATATGATACTAGTGCGTAGTTGTGTCCTCTAAGTTGGATGGTTTATCATTATTTTTTGGAATTAAATTCCTTTGCGTTCCCTGAGGTTTCGGTAGCGGTGATTTTATCTTTTATGGGATGAGGTTGCTACCTCAGACTGCACCTTCCACCTTTACCGGACTTACTACCGGCTAAGCGACGTCTAAGAGTACGTTGGCAGGGGATTGGAACGCCGGCCATATGTATGGCTGCTGACGCATAAACATTATCAGGGCGGGACGCATGCATATATTATAATACAACCCTCTTCAAACTTTGTATACAACCATTAAGTCGCGCAGTATCTATCGCCCTTGATAGATCTAGCAAAAGGAGTCACGAGAACACCATCAGGGCAGGCTAGGGTACCTCTAATATACTGTAGGAATCTTGATAGGCGAATGCCTATGTGATATAGTTGTCAAGCTTTCATCGCCTTCCAGACAGCATCGCTTCAATGCATACTTCAGTTTGAAGTGAGTTCTTTGAATTCTCCATGAGTTTATCAGCCATCTTTCTCGGTAACCTTGAACGTGATTAATTGTTTCTAGTTACTAGGAGACAATGGAGGCTTGGCAACTAAACCATCCACCTCTCAAAGGAAACACCTTCACCAATTTGTAAATTTGTTTATCTGAATATGTTTAAAATGATGTTTATACTATAGGAATAACATTCCAAACAGATTGATAATTTAATTGGTGGATGTGACTAGCAGTATCCAGGATGCGCATTTCGTCCTATTTGGGACTCATCAGCTAACTGGATGTACCTGCATTCCCCAGTGAGTGATGATGTTCCCACCGAGACTCGAACCCAGTGCCCATAGTTTCAAACGCCAAAGCGTTATCCACTAGACCACTTGGGTCACGGAGCCAGCTCTTGTGCAACGGGTCATATTAATTTATTAGATTGAAATTTATTTTCACTATTATTATTTCATAAATCTACCCAGTTTACTACGATAGACGAATAACACTCAGTAGAGGAGTTATGTAAGGTTGAAGTAAACATCGTTTTACACCTTAGTAACTCTCATCTCATTTTGTTTTTGTTTGTTTCTTTCTTTAATGATGCAGGTGTTGGATGAAAATGATCACTTCCCGATCATACAACTTCCACATTATCATTGTCAACTAGTAGAAAATTCTCCTGCCAAAGTTATCTTGGCCCGTATAACAGCTAGTGATTCTGATAATAAAGATACAACTAATTTAACTTATCACTTGACAGCCGGTGATCCACAAGGTCACTTTATGATAGATACTAGAACAGGTGAGTTAATGTTATTACTTTTTTTGGTGGATAGAGACCAACAGTGGGATCTAGAGATGAGCATTTCGTCCTTTTTGAGACTCATCATCATCATCTGTGGATGTACCTGCAGTCCCCAATGAGTGAGTGGTAGTGTTCCCACTGGGGGGACTCGAACCCAGCGCCCATCGTTTTAAACGCTATAGCGTTATCCACTAGAGGCTTTGGGCTAAATTTGTGCAATATGGGCATCTATTATCATGACATGAAATACTCATCAGACTGGATTCCCCTATTAGTCATCATCCACTAAATAACTTTGTGTTAACATGTCGTGTTGTTGATGTTGTTGCCAAAGTTTCATCTCCCTGCAAAATATTCTCTAACTTAATAAAATAATAAATAATCTCTCAATATTCTTTATAATAAACAGGTATTCTGACAACAACAGAACGTTCAGTGGATCGGGAAACAGTTCTAAAAGATACAAGAGGAGTAGTATTAAATCTTATGGTAAGCGGAATTACAAAAATAACTTTCTAACCATGTATAAATTTTTTTATAGCAATTTGACTATTTTTTTTTCAAGGATTGTTAAGTGACTTTCACGGTTTATTGTTAGGAATTTTATACTCTTTAATATTTATTTTCAAGTATGCTGTACATTTGTCTTAGGGCTTTGCTTGGTGCAGACTGAATTCTATCAGTCAGTTGGCATGTGCCACCATCAGTCAGTTTAGGTAGCTTGCCATCACGGTGAACTTTGTGAATAGTTGATATTCGATGGTTGGAGGCAATTGGCACGAAGCCCAGTCTGGCCTAGGTTTCGTTCTAGTTGGCACTGAGTCACCAGTCAGCAAGGCGTATCTGCAACCTTGAAGGAACTCATGTCCCTTGTGAGATTCGAGTCCCTGGGACATCCCAGTGCTGCAGTCAGTCAGTGACGTTACCATTGAGCCACCTAGAATGGTGGCCACATTGCCAACGTCACTGGTAAAATTCAGTCTGCACCAAATAAAGGACTAGACGTATTACACTTATTACTAACTAGTGTCCAGTATAAGTATCCGATACAGTCCTACAGGAGGTTAATCGCGAGCCCGAATAGCTCAATGGTAACGTCTCTGACTGCAGCACTGGATTGGATTTGAATCTCAGAAGGGACATGAGTTCCTTCGAGGTTGCAGATACGCCTTGCTGACTGGTGACTGAGTGCCAACTAGCACGAAACCTTGGCCAGGCTTGGTTTCGTGCCGATTGCCTCCAATCATTTAATATACTCTATATTATCCATTTATGTACTATTTTCGTCACTATTATTCCCTTGGTTTCTGAGTGGAACATAGGGTTTCAGCAGAACACCTTCATCTCACTTTATTCTCTGCAGTCTTTTCCATATATATATATGGATTCCAAAATATAAATCACTAGGATGGAATCTTGGAGACAGCTATTCATTGTCGTAGTTATCAGCGAAGACATAGATATCTGCATGCGGGACTTTGAAAAAAAGTAAAACGCTAAAGATGTTGTCTAGAGAAGCCTTTGGAAGCTTTGCAGTTAAACCGCCTAGCTCAAAACAAACAAACAGGACCACAGTGAAAACAATATCCACTTGTTGTTTTCACAAATCAACCTTAATCTAAACTAATTTTCATGCTTCTATGTCGGTGAAGACTAAACGTTGTATAACAAAAGGTAGCTCCAATCACTGTCAACAGAAGAAATTGAAAGAGGTTACTTATCTAGGCGGCACCATTTCAACTACAGGTGTAAGGCGGATGAGAATGTCAAAACTAGGAAAGCAAAGGCAAAGCAAAACGGACTATCATCAATCTGAAAAAAACAGTTTGGAAATCTTCTGCACTCAGTCAGCATGAAGAAGAAAATTCGGATTTTCAAAACACCAAATTCAAGTCAATTCTTCTATACCATTCACAGACCTGATTCCTGAGTTATTAAAAGCATTTCCAACAGGCTGTACTGCAGACTTTTATCAACTGTTGTCTTCGCTGAATACTGAAAGATCAGATGGTGGGCGAGAAAGAATTAGCGACAAGACACTGTTGGGACAAACCAATCAAAAAACATCTTACCGAACAAATATGCAAAAGAAAATGGAGATGGATTGGACAAATGCTGAGGAGAACGTTGGATGACATCGCGCACCAGGTAACCCCTCAAGTAGAACCCGAATAAAAAACGTGAGTGGGGCCTGTGTCTGAGGGTGATATGGAGGAGATCGTGCGATGAGGAGGTGAGAGCTTATTTACAACCGTGGAGCAAGCTAAAGAGGACAGCAGACGACAGGATGAAATGGAGATGTACTGTTGAAGGCCTATGTTTCAGCGGGAATTCAAGGGAATAATAATAAAACAAAGTATGCTTTTAGCCCAGTTTTAAATATATTACACAAAAAAAATTTGGAGGATTTGGACTTCGCCGATGATATATGTCTGATTTCCCACAAACTGGAAGATATGCAAGTGAAAAGCAACAAGTTGGCAGAAGAAGCATCAAAATAACTTCAGTGAACATGGAGAACAGAGTGATGAAGATTCCTGGCACACCAACAGCAGCAAACAGACATCAGCATAAGACATACCTACCGAAGCATCGTTTCACTACAGGCGGAACTGAGAGGACATCAAAGTGAGGATCGGGAAGCAGACAAGCTTTCTTACTCTCAAGTCGTGTGGAGTAACCCTCAGCATAAATAAGAATTTCACTCATGTAATACTATAATCAAACTTGGTATAAGAGCACCTCAAACAAACTACAAACTTTCACAACAGCTGTCCTCGCTAATACTCAAGACAGATGGCCAGAAAAATCAGCAGGGGATCTCTGGGAGCGAAACGACCAGGAACCGATTGTAACAAATAAGCAGGAAGAAATGAGGTGGATTGGCCATACTCTGAGAAAACAAACCATCAAGTGACATCACTAGACAAGCTGAGTGGAAAAGACAAGGTGACTTGGAGGAGGTCATGTGAAGAGGAGATGAAAGCATGTGGGTAGACTTGGAGCCAGGTGAAAACTTTAACAGAGAACCGAACGCAATGGAGACGTGCGGCTGAAGCCCTATGTTCCTCTAGGAATTAAAGGAAATAATAATATTATAATAATAATTTACATTATCTTAAAATGTTGTTGTTTTGTCCTTCCTCTTCAGGTCACTGTATCTGATGACGATAAATTGAGTCCACGGAGTGTTGAAGTTCCTGTGACAATTGAACTATTGGATATAAATGATAATTCACCTCAGTTTGCACACACCGCGCCAAAAGAATTTTCAAAGTATAGAAAAACTACAGAAAATCCAGATTATTTCTTTCAGTATTATGCAACAAAATGTAAGTTTTGGTTGTTGCAGAAATGGGATTTTCATACGTAGCATTGTTAGTGTGTGTGTGCGTGTGTGTGTTATGACCTACAGAATCAGCGTTATTATATGAAGTCAGTTAGCTAAAATGTATCATAGCAGCTGCAAAAATGGGGAAAAAACATTCGTACAGAATCCTCAACCCATCTAGTTATACAACCACAATAGTGGGACGTCTGAAAGATTATTAGTGTTTTACTTATTAACATGAAGGTGTCTCACCTAGGAGAGTTGTAAAATCCTGATTATGTGGTGATATTCAGAATCCGATAGAATCGATTATGTTTGAACCAACCTGTTTTGTTCCCTGTCAGCCATGGGAACGTAGCCTTTGAAGAGCAGTTCTACTACTTTGTAAATCAGACTTCATTTCAAAGGCTCAGGCAGGTGGGGATGGTCCCTTAAGGCAACTAACCATCTTCTTCAATCTGGGAGTCTAAGCAGTATTCCAGCACTCAAACAATGAGATTTAGTGTGGTGTGTCTCTTTACCAGTGATTGACTGATTAGTTCATAGTTTTTTTATCAGCAGTGAAGTATACTAATGCAGAAAGCATAGAGGAACTGAAGTTTTTTGTAAATTAACAACTCTGAAGAAAATTTAGTATTTTGCATAGTTAAAGTGTCGATTTTAATCGCAAATTGAATATTGACAAACCAGGGATCATTGGACATGCGTTTCGTCCTAATTTAGGCTCTTCATCAGTACCTAACCATGGCGCCACCGAAAATCGAACCATAGACAAGACGAGGCTGATGGGCATTCAGACATTGAGACAAAATACAATGGTCAGTCTCTTAGTTTCTAACGTCTGACAATACTTGGAAGAATCTAAGGTGCCTTTGTATATAGAGAAAATGAAATAGAATTTGAATAACTTTCCAACTGTTCTGTATCTTCGATCATTTGACTGTTGACATTGATTGATAAAGACTCTTCTCCTTCTTTCTTTTCTTCTTCCTTCCTTCCTTCCTTCATTTTTTGAATAGAACTCATTAGTGTTGATTCACACTCACGTTTCCATTGAACAACGTCGTCACAGGGTGTATAGTAGTTATAGATTTATTTTTTTTTTTCAATGGCAATCAACCATCTGGAATTAATTTTTTAATTATTATTATTATTTCGTGTGTTCAAATTAGCGTACAGTTCGGTTTTCTTTCTTTCTTTCTAATTTTTTCTAATTAAAACATGTTGCTTTGACTGCATCTAAGTCTGATTTCAGTGCAAACTAAAAGAAACGTGTGTGTTTGTGTGCTCGTGTGTGTGTGTATGTGTAACAGCTGTTTTTCTTTAGGCTTTTCTGTTAAGTTGTAACATTTTTTTGAAAAAAAAGAGAGAGGAGATTTAGTTTTCTTCTTAGACGATTATTCAAGCATGACGGAAACAATTACATCCACAAACTGTTATGAATATATATATATATATGCCGTGTGACTCACTTGTAATCTTGTTATGCGCTATACTGGACAACTGATTGTCATTTTATGCAACACTGGCATTCTCTGCGTTGAATTGTAGTCAACCTTTATTGACTAGTTCCTTAAATACATGTATATGTGCATATTTTTTTAGTGGAGTTGAGTGGAATCGCCAAAGCACAATCATCTGCATCTGTAGTCCGGGGTTCGAATCCCGTCTGACTCACTCCTTAACCTTATTGTTATTATTATTAATTTATTTAATTCCTTTTGAGATGATGCTGCAGGGTTGGACTTCACCGACCCCTAGATTAGAAATAGGAAGTGAAGTGGTAGAACATGTTGACCGCTTCACTTACTTGGGAAGTACCATCAGCCCCAACGGGTTGATCTCCGACGAAATCTCAGCACGAATACAGAGGGCTAGTTTCGCATATGGAGTTTACGCCGTCTCTGGCGTAGACGTGATATCCAGCTGGCTGTCGACCAAAGGGTGGGCGTACTGCTCAACAGTCCCCTCCGTCCTCCTTTATGGCTGTGAGACCTGGCCATTGAGAGAGGAAGACATGAAAAGATTAGCTGTCTTCGATCATAGGTGCCTACGTTCTATTCCCGTGTGAAGTGGATAATAAGGTGAGCAATATTGAGGTTAGGCGTTGGTCGAGTGCTAGGTAAGGAGGGATATAGATGAGATGTTAGTGTGTTACGTATGCCTAGTTATCGCCTTCCTCGACGGATGTAGACTTCCTGGTTGGGGTCCTCGGGACGGTAAAACCAATGGTTGGAAACAATTGGTGATATGGCTCAAAATTGTTCTCAATGTATCCACTCCTTGTGACTTATAATTTCCAATGAAACTGTTTTGTTCTTGTTATTACTATTCCTTTATCTCACACCTCTGTTTACTGTCTATATTATGCATTTCTCCTACTTTCTTCTCTTGCTTTGTGTGGTACATGGAGTGTGGCGACTTGAACTGCCGCACATATGTGCAAAGTTCTATGTCGAAAACCGACTGACCTTTTGAGTTCCGAGTAGAACCATAGGGCTTCAAGCTTCAGGTTTGAAGTTTCAGTAGCAGTGATGTTTTCACGGGATGGAGTTGCTAGCCCTACGTCCAGCCTTTCTCTCTTTGTCGGGGTTACAACTGACTAAGTGAGGTAAAGGTGTGCGCCGGCCGGGGATCGAACCCCGGACTACATGCATGGTTGGCGAGCATCCTACCGCTGAACCACTGACGGATTCCTAAACCTTACTTGACCTGGTAAAGAGGGGAGGTCAGGCATTAGTTCAGTAACTCCAACCCATGTAAAAATGAAACCATTGCTATTGGAAATTCAAAGCTTTTGAAGCGCCCTATGTTCTACTTGGAACGAAAGGGAACCAGCCCATAAACATGTTAATAAATGGCTTGTTGAATGTCTGTATACATTTGTTAGTGCATTATGGGCACTAAGAAATACACCACATCAAGTGTCACAGTTTGTGTGACGATAAAGACACTACCCAGACGCCCAGACCCGAAGAAGGTGGTTGTCTTAAAGGCCACTTTCCTCTTGAGCCTTTGACTTGAAGTTACATCCACAAGACAGTGGAATAGCGTCAGGAGCTTCATTCTTATGGGGTTGCCTGTGATCAAAACATGTCTGTAAGTCATTCGATTATATCGCACTTTGGAACCGATGTACAACGTGTAAGTTTGGAATCAAGGTTTTCCACCTCCCCTGAGTGTAGACACCTGCATGTCCACCAGTCCGGTTGTAAGCACCAGACGTCCGCCCTCATCCTTCCGCTTTTGTAAGAAGCACTCACTCCCATCGCCGGAAAGCAGTGAATAGGACTTACACTGGAGAGGGAGGGAGGCTATGAACATGTGTCTTCATGAAAGCATTTTGAGAGGTAGATCCAACTTTGGTTGTACCAGGTCGTTTATGAGTGCAGTAGTCGTACCCCCGCTTAAGGAAGTTTAAACAATAACATGAAGGTGTCTTTATCTCATACCTATGATTAATTTTGCCAATCTTCATATCATCGTGGGAACTCCATCCTCACTCCCAACTGGATGAACCCCACTGGTCACGAATTCTCACTAGAACTCACTCCAGGCAACTTCGTCCTGTAGCCAGCCAGTCACTAGCCAGCATCAGATTAATCTTCAAGAATTAGTTTGTAGAGATTCTATTTGTCTCAACTACAGGAGGAACGGACGAAGATGTCAAATCGAGAATCGGGAAGGCGAGAAACACATTCATCAACCTGAAACCAATCTGGAAATCTTCGTCACTCAGCATCAACAACAAAATTGGATTTTCAATACAAACGTCAAGTCAGTCATTCTTTATACGGACAGAAACTTGGCGGGTCACAAAGAATATTTCCAACAGCCTGTTGCAACCTTATCAACAACTGTCTTCGCTCATACGAAGATCAGATGGCCGGAAAGAAACCAACAAGAAACTATGGGAACAAACAAAACAAGACCATCGCTCAACAAATATGCAGGAGAAAGTGGAGATGGATTGGACACTCGCTGAGGAGGCCCTGGGTACATCGCGCGTCAGGCCAGCTCGAGTGGAACCCGAAGGGAGGGGCGAGTGGGACGTCCAAGTGACATGGAGGAGATCTGTGAGAGGAGTAAACAGTATGGACTAACATGGAGAGGTGAAAAGTACAGCAGAAGACAGAAGCAAGTGGAGACGTGCAGTTGAAGCCCTATGTTCCACTAGGAACCCAAGGGAACAATAATAATAATAATATTCTATTTGTTTCAGCCTAGACCATGGATTGCTATCCAGTTAGAGAGCCGTTGAAACAGCAGTGCAGTACTGCTCTCTGGTTTTCAGTGTCTCTCTAACTGATATCAATCCGTGGTCTAGGCTGAAAAGAGTAGAATCCCTACAATCTAAATTTTCATATCGTCAATTTCAATGCTTATATGTATTGTACATATATATATCCAGTTTTTGAAGTGTCAATTATCTTTGAATCTCTTCTTTGCCATCGAAATTAAAAGCGAATACATGTTAACGTATTTGTTGGGTTTTTCTTTAAAAAAAGGAACAATGTTGTCTCCTTTTTTTAAAAAAATTTCTTCCCTCAATTATTTTTACACTTACAAAAAAGAAAGAAACATTTCTTTGTGAATTATTATTATTATTATCCAGTCTAGCTTAGCTTAGTCGTTAGACAAAATCTACTTTCCCATTCTTCATCACATTAACAAAATATCACTGAACTAATTAATTATTCATTATTAATTGTTACCCCCCCCCATACCATCGTTTATTCCAAGTTCGATATTTAATTTTGTTATTAATAATAATAATACTGAATCGCCTTCACTTTGTGGGGATTTTTTCCCGCCGATGAAAAGATAGCGAGTACAGTTCTGATCATCTTTCGTCTAGGCCTTCCTTCTCCTCCCACTATTGTTTAATAGTGTTACTCGTAATGATAATATTATAAACTATCTTTCAATGTCAAAAGACCAACCTAACTAATGCGGTAAAGAAATGTGAAGAGAAGGTGAGAAAACGGGGGTGGGGGAGAAGGACGACGGAAAGAAACGTGTGAGAGAGGAGGAGAAAATATCAGTTGTGGAGAGGTAATCATGAATTCATTCAGTTGGTTGGTTGTTGTGCGCTTTAGGATTGTTATCCTGCTCATTGAAATCCTCTTTTTCTGTGTCTATCCATGTTTGTCTCACTGTGTGTTGGGTGGTGCATGTGCCTGTGTTCGTCGGACATTCCTTTCCAGTCTAGATGAATCATGATTAACTAAAAATATTTCATGTAGCATTATTTATTTAGTTGCCTAATATATATAATCATTTTCTTACGATATATGTATAAACATGAAAATAATCATCATAGCAAAAAGGTCGTTGTGTTGATTAATAGCAGAATCGCTATAATCATGATTATACGTTTCTGTTAGTTATATTTGCTTTTAACACATAAGTTGTCAGTTAGTTGGTTAGTTAGTTAGTAGTACTACAATGCAATATATATAACTGTTCTTATTTCGACTGGTATTCATAAAATGCGATACAGTTAGCTTTTAAGGCGTTACTGAATAGTGAAATAAGTAAATGGATGAATGTATCCCCCCCCCTTCTCTCCCTACTTTCTGTTGTGTTTTCTTCCGAGACAGGTGGTTACTTGCGGTATTGCCATAGAATACTTATATATATAATATTATATTATATATATATATATCTTACTGCCTCCTACTATCATTCAATTCATTATGAAATACCAACCAAGTAAGAATTTATTAGGGGGGGATGTGACTAAAAGTGTTGGCGGGCTGGGAAGGATATAGTACATAGTATGAGGTTAATGAAAAGAAAAGTACATTCATTTTGTTAATATAAGCATCAAACACATTATAGTGTTGCCCTAATTCTCAGTAGGCGTCGGTGTTATCAACAACAACAACAACAGAAAAATATGGATTTAAGAAACACGCTGAAATGGTGATTACATAACAGACAGATTTTGTGTTTCCTCTGTTAATCTCTTATACCTCGCTGATCCCTTTAGGCGTACACTCATTTTGCTTCCGTTTATTACTACTACTGCTGTATATAATCCATAAAAATAAATAAATTATACTTTGTGAAAAACGTTAACACACAGTGTACAGAATTCTTAGCGTAATTCATTGCATAATATTTTCTTCGCATCCAGGATCTTCAAGTAAAAATAAAATAGGGTTGTATATAGGATATACCACTGGACACAATACTGTCACATCTAAAGCATAGACTTAATCCGTTTACGATATAATTTTTATTTTGTCTCTGCGAATACATGTATTAAATTGAAAATATGCGTGGATGCATTTTGTGACTTAAAGACATAAGCGAATTGTTAAGACAAATAAGAATTAGAGAAAATATATAATGATACATTGTGTTGGGTAGAAGTTTAGGTAGCGCAGTAATTCAAGCAAGCCACTACATTGTTGGCGGCCTGTTTAAAAGTTGGGCTACCACAAACTTCCATCTGTCCACTAGTATTATCTACTTTTGTGTGTATTTAAAATGTTAACAAGCTTCGGATTCGTAATTTCCTACTAAACTTGAGGAAAGAGGCCTGATTGTGGGTGTGGCAACGTGTTCCAATACAACATGAGATAACTGTTCTTCAGTTGTGTCCTTGAGTCTCAAAATGTACTTCTGAGCATCTCGCAATTGGATTTCTTGAAGGAGACAAAGCAGGTATATCATAATCGAATGGTTTGTGTTTCAGCTCAGAGAGCATTGTGTCCCAGGAAGGATATACTGGGAAAATATCATGCAATAAACTCCTGTGAAAATTCTGTACATTTTTATGAATACTGTCCAGAATCAAGATGTTATTATTATTAATACTGCTAAAAACAGTTTTTTTTAGCTTCCAACATCTATATATAAGCTCCCAGTTGTTGAGGGCGCTATGAAGTCACGCACTGTTGTCAGCAGACAAACAAATAGATGTTTGCATTTCTCGAAGCTTGTGTTTTTTAAACCAAGTCTTTGTGTACAGAAGAAAATGTTGGCCACTTTGAATCTACCATGGTAGTATATTTTATTTACTGTTACTATTATTATTATTAGTAGTAGTATTTTATCCCATCTTTTATTATTATTCTTGACTCATTTAAGAGTATCTTTTGTCTGTACCATTATCTTAAGTCGTTTTATTATTATTATTAGACAGTTTGGAATTCTTGACATTTTCAACTTCTTTCTCTGGTGACTGATTGTTTATTTAAGCGTTGGTTTGCACGAATTTGACTGCTTACAGGACTTTATCATGAGCTGATTGCCTAGAGAAGCATTCGATAACCTGGGAGTACTGGACGGCTGTTTCGTCCTAGCTTGGGACTCTTCAACAGTACGCATCCACCACCATCAGGGTTCAAACCCAGGACCTTCCAGCAACTAGAGAAGCTAGTAGGCCGTTAAGCCACTGGCACCCGACTCAGTAGCCCATGAATTCCAACTTCTGCCAATTCACAATATAGCACGACCGCTAGCCGATGTCATCCGTGACAAGTATTTGTACCCCCGACCTACTGTAACCTACTGGTCAGGACTTCCCACTAGAGTCAGTCTCTGGCGAGCGTCAGATTTGAATGATGTAACTGTACCGTAATATTTTATTACTATTATCATCATCATCATCCTAACTTTGATCTTTCATACCCTTCCCCACCTCTCGCCTATCTGAACCTGACCCGTGAAACATTTTCGCCTGTCATTATGTATGATTGGTTTCAATGTAGTTCACTTTACTTTTAAGTCGTATATCTTCCAATGTACTTCTAATAATATACAAATATATGACTGTATGTAGAGTATTCGGCTGAAGAGTTCCACCGAAATTCGATAAATTTATCAAGTCTTGCTTTTTTGGGTTGAGAGGAAATACTGAATGTTAATCGACCTAGTGATCACTGGCGATCTGAAAGTGTTTATGAATGTATTTGGTTCTTTTCAGTGATACATATATAATAATTTACCTAATTTGAGTGGAAATTGGTTAGTTTAAATGCATACTAACGTTGATTGTTCAATATGCATCTATTATAGCTTCAAATTCAGTAGTTTGTGTTGGACGTGTTTTTGCCTTGGATTTGGATTCTGGATTAAATGGGACAGTAATCTATGAGCGTGATACCTCAGAGGATTTTAAATCATCAATGAATGACGATGGTTTTTTTGTAGTTGAGCAAAATGGTTGGATTTGTGCGAAAGATGGTGTACCACCAGTTGGGGAATACAGAATGAAAGTAGGTCTTACAATTGTTGTTTGTTGTGTTTTTTTTTAACATATTCTGTTGTAAACGACCTGTTTTTGAAAGATTTAGTTTCTTGAGACTTTCATTCGTCTATTATTTCTGTCTGTATCTGTGCCAGTGAAACTGAAATTCATCCTATTGCTTATTAACCTGTGATCTATATTCTAAGTAGTTTTCCTTCGAATTCTCTTGGTTCGTTAGTATTTGCATCAAGTCGTGTTACTAAATATATGGTTTTAAAGTTATATTCCTCATTTTTTTGAGTTCCGAAAGGAACACAAGGTTTCAGGTTTGGAACCTCAGTGGCTATGGTGTTGCTTTTAAAGGGACTAGTAAAACTGGGCTAGGTTGAGGAGAGGAGTGTGTCGGCTGGGAGTCGAACTCTCTATCATACGCCTGGTTGCGAGCAGTCTACCGCTTAAAAGTACCGACTCACATTGAAAATATTTACAACCGATATATTTTGTGTTTTGTTCCTCTGTCTCGTCCCTTCGTGTGGCTCTCATCAGTTGATTTATATTTTTCTAAATGGATTTGAAGATTTAGCCTACTGCAATTCAATTCGCCCATTCTTATCATAAAAATACGAACATTCACTATCATTTATATGAAATCAAGTAAAATTTGTTAAGAATTTAAGCAGAGTAATGCAAACAGATGTATATAGAGGTAATTCATTATGGTCAGAAGGATAGACCTTCACCTCCTCTGTTATCCATGATAGATAGATACCTGTTCTTTAAGCGCTTTCTTTATGAACATGTCCCTCAATGTAGCTGATGTTGCTGAAGCTCAATAATTGCCTGGAGTTGGAATTTTCAGTCCTATTGAGTCTTTTGAATTTTTTCTCAAGGTTAATATCGTATCCACACAACCGGTTGCGATTCCGAGACTGAAACACGAAGTACCTAGGCTAGCCACCAGTAATTGTATCTATCAATTCAACTGCTCCTGTGGAGCCAATTATATTGACGGTTGCTCTAGGAACCTAATTTTTCCTCCTCGGGAACACCACACCTACCATCAGTGTGGCCAAGTTAGGGTGCTATTAAAACTATCAACAGTTCTGTAGTAAAATTACCTCGTCCTAACAGGCCACAAAGCCAGCTAGTATTGAAGAGTCTTTATCATCAATCGGGTACAGAATTAATTACCAAAGGCATCTAGATCACGAACACTCCAAACAGTAGAGGCCATTGCAATTCTCTTAAGTCAGGTAGAGCTCTGAGTGCAAAACAATGCAGGTCCAGCCACTATTACTATCCTGTCCTGTTGTCCAATCTTGAAATTCACAAATTCTGCGTTACTTCCCTCAAATTTATCTGATATATAGTTAAGTCTTATATTTATTCGTAATTTCTTGTTTATAACGATTATTCTTTAATTATTGTGGTCATGCAACTGTAGAACTTGGTGACGAAGAATATTCTTTGTTCACTATTCAGTCTTTTAAAAATTCAAATGGGTATCTTGAATCAGTTAAAATGAATAGCCCATTAGAAGTTAATTGGTGGATGGTGACTATCTCTATTTGGGACTCGTGTTCTGGATGTATCTGCATCCCGCAGTGAGTGGTGATGTTCCCACCGAGCCTCGAACTCAGTGCCCATAGTTTCAAACGCCAAAGTGTTATCCACTAGACCACTTGGGTCACGAGAGCCACCTCTTGTGCAACAGGTCATATAAATTATTTAATTCAATTTTAGATTTTGCCGTCGATTGATTGGACCGAAGTACTCTGTCTCAGTTGACATGGACACTGGGTTCGAGCCTCGGTGGGAAGATCATCACTCACTGTGGAATGCAGCTACATCCAGATGACAAGTCCCAACCAGGATGAAATGCGCATCCTGGATTCCACTGCTAGTCACCCTCTACCAATTAACTTCTAATTATATGCCCAGACATCGTCAAAGCATCTGCACAAGAAGCCGACATATCGACCTGAGACCGAGCACTTCGGTCTAATCAATCGATGGGAAAATGTAAAATTTAATTGAATAGCCCATTAGTTTAAGATTCATATTTAAAACTGTGTGAATTTTTTTTGCTCTTAGATTTTTGCAAGAGATCAAGGAGAACATCCTCCAGTTGTACGTATGAAAAAGGAAAAAGAAGGAAAAGAAAAAGAATCAGCAATTATTTTTATTCGTATTCTTCCACTTCCATCCAGTGATACATCTGAATCATCTGAAGTTCATTATATCAAGTATACATCTACTCCGCCACCAGCTAGTCATACTATTGATGATAATACTATTGTTGGAGAAAAGTTATTCAGCTTTTCAGTTCATGATTCATATGATCCTAGTGGAATGGGATTAGTTTTTGAACTTTTAAGTAAGTTCACATCTTTTATAACATTATTATTATTGTTCCCTTGGGTTCTTAGTGGAACACAGGGCTTCAACTGCACGTCTCCACTTGTTTCTGTCTTCTGCTGTACTTTTCACCTGCATCCAGTTAGTCCATACTGTTTCAGCTCCTCTTCACACGATCTCCTCCATGTCACCCTTCGACGTCCCACTCGAGCTATGGCCTGACTCGCGATGTCACCCAGTGGCCTCCTCAGCGAGTGTCCAATCCATCTCCACTTTCTCCTGCATATTTGTTGAGCGATTGCTTCTTGTTTCGCTTGTTCCCATAGTTTCTTGTTGGTTCTTGTTCTTTCCGGCCATCTGATCTTCAGTATAGAGCGACGAAGACAGTTGTTGATAAAGGTCTGCAACAGGCTGTTGGAAATGTTTTTTGTGACCCGCCAAGTTTCTGATCCGTATAGAAGAACTGACTGACTTGACGTTTGTATTGGAAATCCGAATCATTTTGTTGTTGATGCTGAGTTGAGTGACGAAGATTTCCAGATTGGTTTCACCTTGATGAATGTGTTTCTCGCTTTCCCGATTCTCGATTTAACATCCTCGTCCGTTCCTCCTGTAGTTGAGACAATGCTCCCGTTGATGGCGATTGGCGCTGGATGTTGCTGTTGTTGTTGTTGTCGGTTGGTTATTTTCATAACCTCCGTCTTGTCTATGTTCACCTGGAGTCAGTCCTGTCTTTGCTGCTTCCTCGACCAGTTTTCTAACATTACCTGCTCTTTTTTACAAAAAAATGTGATATTTCTTTAAATATACATGTGTAAAACTTGAACACTGTGATGTTATATGTAATTCCGTACTAATTTGTTTATTTGAATATATTCCACTTGCCGTGACGGTATTATTATTATTTACTGGATGACAAAGTTTCAAACACAATTTATTACTGTTCATAATCATATCAATTGTAATTACACAACTTGGAAACTTTTGTTTTATTTTTTCCCGTCATTCCTCCCCGTTTGTCTTAGATGTAGTAGAATTTCCAGATGTCTAGGCGGACAGGTGTTGCATCATTCCTACTGCCCGTATTTTCAATTGATTCGATAAATAAAACTTCCACTATCAGTCTCTCCCTTATCCTGTTATATATTAGATTTTAAAACTCTCATCTTATCCCATCCAGCCTATTGTATGGTTGTGTGTAAACTGCATCTAGTAAGTGCTACAGCTGAACTATTCACCAGATTTCTTATCTTATTAGGGTCAACTAATTAGATTTTGTCAAGTTTTTGTACTCCACTAATCCAATTGACCCTATGCTATTTACTTTAATCCATGTATTTGACTTGACAATCATTGAAGAGTATTAGACAAATTAAATTATTTTGTTTAATGGGTTCCACAAGATCTTCTAACCGAAATAGGTTTGTTTCTAAGTGAGTTTGTGGATGTCTGAATATCACTTTTATTCCTGCATTGTTGAGGAATTCTACGTACGATTTCAGAATTTCCTTCTTTCTATTTTTTACTTTTTCCTACAAACCTCATGATTAATTTATCAGGGTAATTATTAAGATTTAAAGCTTCACTTATACGCCTCACTTCCTGTCTTAGATTTCCCTTGGTACTACATAGTTTTTTTTGTCCCATTACTTAAACATTTCAGCAATCCTAGTTTTAATGACATGGAGGAGTGGGATGGTCTGAAATCTAAATATCACTTTGAATATGTGGGTTTTCTGTAAACACACTTTAGTGTTTCACTAACTTCTCATCATCTTTTCTTTTTATGCTACCTTACAGTGTAACTAACATCAGAAGTTCCTCTTTGTAAACTTCCCAATCTACCTTTGAGTTGATGTGTTCGAAACTTCGTCATACAGTAAAATAATACTGATGTTTCATTGTGTGGTTGATATTTTCTCTTCCTTTTTGCAACACCTAGAAGAAGAGAATGACATCTCTTCTTTTATCGGTTAAGTTTTCTGTAGGTCAATTTAAGCGGTGTTCTCTCTTCCATATTAATATAAATATATTTATTCACAACCTATCTCTCGAGTTGTACTCTCACCTTGTGTCATTTTATAAAGGTTTATTTATTTTCATGGAGGATTTCATCATGAGCTGACATCAGTTAGAGAACCACTGGAAAACCAGCTGGGAGTACTGGACAGCTGTTTCGTCCTAGTTTGGGGCTCTACAGCAGTACGCACCCACCGAGATTCGGACCCAGGACCTTCTGGTGGTTACAAGGCGAGCTCGTAGACCATTGAGCCACTGGGACCCGATCCAAGCCGTGACCAGTAGGGTACAGAAGGTTGAAGATGAGGCAGTAACTACTCATCGAAGAAGACATTGTGAAATGGTTGCGCTATATCGTGAATTGGCAGAAGTTAGAATTCATGCGCCGGCCATTGGATCGGGTCTCAGTGGCTCAATGGTCTACGAGCTCGGTTGTCTTGTAACCAGAAGGTCCTGGGTTCGAACTCTGGTGGTGGGTGCGTACTGATGAAGAGTCCCAAACTAGGCTGACGAAACAGCTGTCCAGTACTCCCAGCTGGTTTTCCAATGGTTCTCTAACTGATGTCAGCTCATGATGAAATCCTCCATGCAGTCAAACAAAATCCCTACAAAACCAATACTTGAAAATTTATTTATTTTGTTTGCTTTGTGTGTCTATTTTTCATGAATAAAAAGGGTCATTTATTATTTCATCCTACTTCGTATATATATATAATATATATATATTATTATTATTCTGTAACCCCGCAACCCCGCTGATGGATGTGATAAGCAATCTTTGTAAATTTCACAATTAACCCCCAAAATGTTTAATCATTACAGATGAGGGAAGAGTAAAACTGAAAGTGAAGATTATTCATATAGTGTGACTGTTCGTTAGATGGTGTCATTTCAATAATTCAACGATTCTTATCTCTATAGTTGATGATTACGTTCTTCTTGTTTTTCGTGTGTGTATGTGTGTGTGTGCCTGCATCTGTCTGTTGGATTCCTTTATCGAACTGTTGTATAGTGTATAACTAATAAATTTGAATAGTAAAGTGCTTCCATTTCTCATGAAAATTTCGCTTCTATGAGAAATATAGATAGATAGATAGATACGATAGTATGATAATGATAAATCTTTTCTATTAGATAAGTTCAGTATCTCTTTTTTGTTGTTGTTTTGGAATGATAATGTTGATTTTTCTCCCTCCCCCCTCCCTCTGCCTCTTCCCCCCCCCCTAAATATGGACGCTTCATTCTCTCAGTCAGTATCTTTGTTTCTGTCCTCTTTTAATGATTTATTACCTTCCTCTTGCTTAAACAACTTCGATTTTCATTATTACTTTTGTCATTCAAACTCATTAATTATTCAAGTTTATCTTTTTTTAGTTACTTAGTTTTCCTTGATTTATTATTAATTTTTATTATTATTATTACTGTTATCATGAATATACTACTGTGGAAATGCTTACTTGAAACTGTTGACATCAGTTTGCCTCTGTGTAGGCACATACATTTGTGTCTCTTCAGTGAGTTTGATTATCAAGTTAGAATGGGTGGAGGAACATCTGCATTTCATCCTCTATCATCTCTGCGATTCTTAGTTTTTGTTTTCTAAGCTGGTTCTACGATTGCTCATAAGTTTTCATCTGCTTCACCTCGCACTACCTCCTCCATGTCATCCTCCAACCTACTGCCAACTCGTTGTCGATTCCCATTCGGGTTCCACTCGGGGGGACCTGTGTAGAATGGGATGTCACTCAGTGTATGTCTATTTCCTTTGTCATATTTATTGGACATAGGTTGTTGGTTAGTTCGTTGCAAGAGTTCCTTGTTACTTATCCCCTCTGGCTGGCTGTCCTATCTGATCTCCAGCATCGACTGGAAGTCTTCATTAGCCTGTTGAAAATGCTTTTGGTAGGGCGGGGTGTATTAATTGAATTGACATTAGTTAGTATTGAGTGCAACAGATTTCCACACTGATTTCAGATTAATGAAGTTCTGTCTGTAAGTAATCTACCATAATGGGAAGTCTTTTATGGTAACTTCTAGCCAGCCAAAGAGGGTTCTGTTGGCTAACAATCAGTTATTGTCATTAGTATAGAGATTGATCTGGGACTAATGCCAGTTAGAGAACTATCATTGAAAACCAGTATGGAGTACTCGACGGCTGTTTCGTCCCTAGTTTGGTACTCTTCGTCAGTGCTGGATACAAGAAAAAGCTGCCTGGAGCTCTAGTGAGAAGTGCTAGGGACCAGTGGGATCCACCAGGTCGGGATGTATGAGGATAAACACTCGCCAATAACGATGGCTGGTGGTCACGCTAAAATCATCGGGTCGGGTCCCCATGGTTGAAATGTATGTGAGTTTTCGTCTGGTAACCGGAAGGTTCTGGGTTCGAACCTTGGTGGTGGTTGAGTACTACTGAGGAGTCCCAAACAGAGACAAAATAGCTATCCAATACCTTGTTTTCAATAGTGGTTCCCTAAATGACATCAATCCGCGAACAAACTTGAAATCCTTACAAAGTAACTCTTGAAAATGATAATACGTGTCTATTATGATGAGGGGAAGTACAGTGTATGTATATGCGTTATATATAGTTTATGCTCTCCTTGTTTTTACCTTTCATTGAAACATATCGATTTCCAGCTGTTTATTGTTTTCTACTACATCTGTTGTCTAGACTGGTTGTTGATTGATGTTGCTTACCCCATTTCTCCCTACCTCCTCTCTCTCTCTCCACCCTTTCCTCATCAACTCAATATGTGTTATGAACAATTTTCTTGGCATTCACAATCCGTTTTTTTCTTCTGTGGCCAGTAAATTAATTTCCGGCTTTAAAAAAACTTTTTTCGTATTACTAATAAGATTATGAGTGATAGTCTTCCGTTAAACTTGTATCTGTTTAGTATAGTTGATGTAATTATAATGTAACTGTGATTATTTTTTTTACCTCCTTAATGACAATAAGTGAGGTTACATTTTGCAAATTAGCTCACAGGAATTTAGGTTTTTATCCGCCGCTACTTTAATGATGGTACTGACTGACTGACTGACTGACTGGTTCCAATGTAGAACTTTGCACAGATGTGCAGCATTTCGAGTTGCCACACTTCACTTAGCACACAAAGCAAGAGAAGAAAGTAAAAAGAGATTCAAAACAGAGATATGAGGCAAAAAGAATAGTAATATCGAAGAACAATATAGTTTTATTGGATATTATAAGTCACAAGGAGTGGATGCATCTGCGCCACTGCGAACGATTCTGAGCCATATCACCGATTGTCTCCAGTCTTCATTGGTTTTTACCATCGCGAGGATCGGAATCAGTCAGGAAGTCTACATCTCCCTGCCGTGGCTGGCAGGCTTAAACTAACTGTTGTAGATTTCATTGACTGATGAGTCCATGTTTTTGTCTTACCACCATGTACTAGCTCTTTTCCGACCTGATCCTATGTCAGGAAGGCGATGACTAGCCATGCATGCGTAAAACATGTCCTAACCATCACAATCGATGCAGCTGCTTCACAGCCTCGTCGATTGATTTCTCCTCCTTACCTAGCACCCTACCGATGCCTAACCTCAATATTATTCACCGTTACCGCTACCACTTAACAAGGGAGACAGAACTCAGACATCTATGACCAAAGACAGCCTTTTCGTATCTTCCACTTTCAATGGCCATGTCTCACAGCCATGAAGGAGGACGGAGCGAACTGCTGCTGAGTAGTACACACGCCTTTTGGTCGATAAATGATGGTAATCCTTTAAAGTTAAGCAGTTATGAACTTTTATGGACTGCAAATGTTTGATACTATCTATCTATCTGTCATTTGTATACCTAATGCTCGGAGAGTGGACCGACTAAATGATGCAGTTGCTTGAAGTTGGTTTATCGAGAATTTATAACCAGTGGGATCTATGCAATTGCGTATAAAGTCAAATACTCACTGATGATAGTGGTTGGTGGCTGCTTCACATATCCTAAATTACACTGGATTCCGTCTCACTAGCTGAATGAATAGTTCAACTAGCTAGCTCACCTTGTAACCTGACGGTCCTGGATTTAACCCCTAGCCTTGGGTCAAATACTCCTTTTTGGTTCCTTCTAACTGAGATTAGTCAGGAATTCGTGGTTAAATTTGAAATGAACTGTTAATTCTGCTTTGGGCTTTTCTTTTTTATGTACTCGTTTCATTCAATACCAGTTCCTCAAATGATTTTATGGCATTGTATTTTTCAAGTATTGGTTTTTGTAGGGATTTTGTTTGATTGATCTGATACTCACTAGCGACTGGTACTATTGAAGCAGTGACCTGGGGTTCTAGTGGGAAGCCGTGACCAGTAGGGTAGAGCAGGTTGAAAGTGAGGCAGTAACTCATCGAAGAAGACATTGGGAATTGGTCGCGCTATGTCATCAATTGGTGGAAGTTAGAATTCATAGGCTGCCCATTGGATTGGGTCCCGGTGGCCTAATGTCCCACGAGCTCGCCTTGTAACCGGAAGATCCTGGGTTCGAACCCAGTTGGGGTGGGGTGAGTGCTGATGAAGAGTCCCAAAGCAGGACGAAACAGCCGTCCAGTACTCCCAGCTTGTTTTCCAATAGTTCTGTAGCTGATGCTAGCTCGTGATGAAATCCTCCAACCAAGCATTGTATTTCCTTTTAAAATTTATTTGTTGAATACCATTCATACCATTACACACTTATGATGACGAAATATTCACTGCTGAAATTCAGAGAGTAAATAAAAGCGTTTTTGTGTTAGTGTATCTCTATTTTCATGGCGTAAAAATTTCCGTTATTCATTTATCATAAATTTTCAAAATTAAATTTAGCTGGCCTAATTTGCATAATTTTCATAGTACTGTTTATTGTTTCTGTCTCTCTCTCCGTGTGTATGTAACATTTCAGTTTACAAGCTGATTTCATTTACCATTAATCATTAGAGTCACTGTTTTCAATAGTTTTAGTTATACAGTTTTTAAACTCCGGTATATATATATATATTACAATGTAGGCTGTTGTTTAGAGATCGCTTTATTGCATGTAAATTATGACATAACTATTGCTAGTAATATTCTACTTGAAATTCATTCAATGTGAACAAGCGATTGATTTTTGACATTGTTAAACTGTGAATGAATCATTTCAACTGTCCGGACATCGTAATCAATATATATATATATATATATATATATATATATAATGCCTTATTGAGAGGTATTGACATCATATTGCTGTGCGTCATCGGTTTAATGATAGAAGGCTTGTGGTAACCACGCCTCGCCTTACATGGTCCAGGGTTTGAGCCCCGGTCGGCTCACTGCAAAATCTCGTCTAGGCAGCCGTTTATTAAGCCTAGTTTTTAGTTAGAGGGTTGGGTGTGAAGCTGGCAACCATGCCCCCGTGAAAGGAAACAACACCAACGCTATTGAAACTCCAAAATTCAAACTTGAAGCCCTATGTGTTCCACTCCAAACACGAAGGAATGGAAAAAATAATTAAATGATGATACCTTACGAAACAAGGAAATATTCGTAACTATCAGATAAGATCTAATGTTCTCAGCATTACTATGATAGCCGGTTAAAAATGTGTAGGGGTTGATGTAGCATTCAAAAGACATGATTGGATGATTAAAACAATTTATGCATATCACGCTGAATGGAGATTTGAGTATAATGCAGTGAATTAAGCCAACTGCCATAAGTGACTATTGTTCTTATGATACTTAGGTATCAAAAAGTTGTACTATAGTCGTAGTATAATTCATCTCATCGTATGTAATGGTTTGTTGAAGGAATCTGAGCTACGCTTGGCTTAAGATTCATTTTTCAATGGTATAGGTCCATTCCTAGAGCTGCATTCATTTTCAGGGTTACTTGATTCCTAATCTCCCCGCTTCCAGTGCTTCTAATCATTCGCTTAACCGGATAAAACTGTTTATTTCCCGGAATCCCAGTTATTCTGAACGAAGCTTCGGAGGAAACCAGCTCCTAGACTGTTCGATGAGTGTTTCTCCCCTATATTCATATTATACGATCGATTTGCAGGTCAGAGTGGCTATGGTGCTCCACCAGAGTTTCCTCTGGCTTCAAACTTCGCAAGCATAGTTGGTTCTCAACATTTACGCTCTTGCTCCACCCCGACGGTGTACATAGCGCAAGACCACCTGTCTACATCATGCGACGGGCCATTGATGCATCTGCTGCTCGCATCTTGAAATCGATGAGCAAAACAACAGGATCTCACCTTAATCCGTACAAGCCGAGCACTTACATTCACTCCGCCTTTGGGTTTCTTAACGCCCAATGACTCGCGCACATGTTTAACTCCTTGGTTCGTATTTCAAGGTGGGTAAGGTGGATAGCGTATCACAACTCCACAGTCTATTGGCCCAAACTAAGACACACATACGCACACGCACTACATTGCCAACTGAACATCATCAAGCCATCAAATAACCAGCCGAAACTAGCAACAAGTCAGCCAGACTCAGCTATACCATTCAATGAAATTATCAACAGGAAAAACAACAGATTATCTATACAGTTAATTTAACCATCCAGGTCATTATAGTTCCGGTTTTTTAAATTGCATATATACTTATAAAGCGTGGAAAATGTGAAGTGCGTCTAACTGGCTGACTAACTGGTTTCAACATAGAACTTTGCACAAAAGTGTAGCAGTTCGAATTGCCACACTCACTCAATATAACACACAACGGAAGAAAACAGAAAAGAAAAAAATATTCGAAAGAATGATAATAAACGGAAATGTGAGGTTAATCGATATGGGAGATCATGAAGAGTGGATGAATTTGATCCACTGAGAGCGATTTCGAACCATATCACTAGTAGTCTCCATTCATTGTTTCTTAGAATCCTGAGGATCGTAACCGGGCAGTCTACACCTCCTTATGTGGCTCAAACTAACACTGTCAAGGATTTCATGGACTGATTTCATGTTTTAGTTTAGAAGTGTATCGGTGTTTCAGGAATGGGTGAAATACCCACCAACCGCACGCGTAATCCGGGGTTCGATTCCTGCCTAACGCACTTATATACCTCACCATCCTCGGAAAAATAGGACAGTTTGACATGGAGTTATCAACCAACATCCCTTAAAAATAAAACACAAGCTCTTCAGTAGCTTCAAAGCTTCCGCTTGAAGCCACTCGGAACGCAGAGGAATAAGAAAAATGAAGAATTTGTGGATTTTAATAAAAATTAGTGCATATATTGTATAACGCTAAAAGCCAAGAGACTTAGTAACGGAATGTTTATTTGAAATGCGGTATCTCTATATAGCGAAATTATGTGAAGGTCATCATTTGCGCAGATCTTCCTTGGTGTGCTACTTCTGCCTTTCGTATTGTGTTTCTTTGTCTTCTTTTTGTGTCTCCAATGTTTTTCTGCCACAATACTGGTTCATTTGCTCTCTTCAAACGTCAAATCTATCTCTCCGCTATTTGATATTTGTGTATGCCGATGAACGTCTCTTAATATACTACTGATAAAGCTTGTCAGTAGCACATGCCGCAATATTATTAAAATGTGTGACATGATAATATAATTTCTCTTTATATACATATTTTTTTCTTTTTTTAATTTTCAGCTTCTAATCATTCTTACCAACATCCATTTGCCCTGGGTTATACAACACCGACCAGTTTATTCGTTTATCTGGCTGAGCCATTGGACTATCACCATTCAGCGTCTGTTTACAATCTAGTATTGATCACTTCAAATGGTTTAGAAATGATAACTACTAAGGTAAACATGACGTAACATATTTATTTTTTTTAATCGTAGATATTGTGTGAATAGATTTCAGTCTGAAGATATATGTGTGTGTTGTTATTGTGTATCACCTTGATGTTGTTGTTTTTACACGGTTGACTGCACATAGCTGTCTGAATAATGTGGAAATTTTGTTTATTTTTCTCCGTCTGCGTCTATTTCACACTGTCTCCGTGTATATCTATTCCTGCTTGAAATTTGACTCTGGGATATGATGAGAATAGTTGCTGAGACTGAAAATAGTAACAACTCACATATTTATGTGTTTGTGTGCGTGTGTGTGTGTGTGATCAGTCATGCGATAAGTTATCAATTAATGATGAATGAGGATCAGTTAGTCACATTGATCATAAAACTCTGATTTGGGTGTAATCATAATCATATTGATAAATGGATTTGTCTTGTCCTCCCCCCCAACCCTCCTGTAATCGCTACTCATCTTACTTTCCTTTGGGGAAAATTCTCCACCCCACTCTCCTGTTTTGTTTACTATCACTGTGATATTGAATCGACTGTACCTTCTACTCATGTAGGTAGGTATATAGAATGCTGCTTTGCTATTACTACTGAATTACTGTCAAGCAAACGGATAAGCATAGAATCTTGTTTGCTTACTTGCTTGCCCAGAATTATCCTCTATGCCACACAATAAAAACAATTCAAAAAGAAATATGGGGAATAAGGAGGATAAAATAAAGCCTAGGAAATTGTCAGTTGCCAAGTCTAAGCTTTTTCGACTCAGGACAGGGGATACTGATCGCTTCAATAGTGTCCCCCTTCCTCCCCCCTCCTGTACCACTTAGAAGACACAATAACAAACAGTGGAAGCAGTATTTATTCGTCTAGGAAAGAATATTGTTGACAATGTACGCTCTGCTAACGGCTTTTGTGCGTCGGTGGCACAGCGGATAGGACTCTCGGCGACCATGCACACATGGTCCGGGGTTCGATCCCCTGCCTACGCACACCTAATATCAAAAGTCGGCCGGTTGAATTTGGGCTACTGATATCACATGCTGAAAATTCCATAGTTGTACCAAAAATACGGTGTGGAATCAAGCTATCGTCAAAATTATGTATATATAATTATCTGTTGCCCCATAACTGCAAGGTTCAATGCAAGAAATAGTCGTGACCAGTGAGCATCCTCCACTAGGTTGGGCTGATTGAGGACAGATACTCGCCAGTGACATTGGCTGATGGTTGCTCTATATTTATCAAGAATCAGTAAAAGTTGGAATTCATGGATCGTTCATTAAATCGGCTCCCAATGGCTGGGTAGTCTACGAGCGCTCGCCTTGTAACTTAAAGGTTCTGAGTTTGAACGTCGGCAGTGGATAGGTGCTACTGAAGAGTCTCAAACTATGGCGAAACAGCTATCCAGTACTTTGTGCTGGTTTTCAATGGTGGTTCTCTCTAACTCACATTCATCTGTGATCAAATTTGATGCAAATGAAATCTCTACGAAAAAAATATATATCAATCAAACATTGTAAAAGATTAGTGGTGTTCAGAAATCCTATGAACTTTGCTGCTGCTACTATATTTTGACTACACTAGCGTACACGTATATTCTAGTACTTCTTCGCGTTTATATTTGTGCCCTAACGTTGCGATTACTCGACATCCGCAACGTAATTCAAAAGGCACTTGCGAAGGAATACGATAGTGTATTATTGCAGCAATCAAAATTCAAAAATCGAGCGAGTAAAAAAGGTTTCAATTGTTAACATGCAAGATTTAGAGTAATAAACAAATCAAAGTACAATTACATAGTGAAAGTATACTGCGATGATGAGTAATAAAACGGGTCACTACACCTTTAAGAAAGTGCGTCGGTGGCACAGCGGTAGAATGCTCGCCAACAACGCATGTGGTCTGGGGTTCGATCCCCAGCCACAGACGCACTCCCTTACCTTGCTAAACCAGTAATAAGACTTTTAAAGATGGAAGGTTGGGCATGGGGGTAGCAACCGCATCCCGTAAAAATAAATACCAACCACTGCTACTGAAACTCCAAGCCTCTAGCTTGAAGCTCTATGTTCCACTGAGGAACGTGAAGGAATTTTTAAAAAAGTTTTCAGTGAAAAGATCTTTTCGTCTCCAACTACCTGACCTCAATCAAAGTACACCATGATCTAAAGTAGTCTACTCACTTTTGGCGGCCACGCACTTATTGCAGACTCTGTCTGTCTGGATTCAACATAGAACTTAGCACCGAAGTGCAGCACTTCGAGTTGCCACATTCCAAAATAGCACACAAAGGTAGACAAAAAGATCAGTGAAGAGAATCAATAGAGTTTTGACAAGTATAAGAATGAAACATAATGAGTAATGGTAGAAAGGAATATGAAAGATTACAGAGACTGGATACATCTGCGTAATTCATTGACAACGATTTTGAGCCATGTCACCTATTGTCTCCAGCCATTGATTCTTTGAGTCCCGAGGGCTGGGTCCCAACACGGAAGTCTGCATCTCCCTACCTGACTCAGTTTAACTGTCAAAGATTTCATGGACTGATGCCATGTTTTTGTTTGGCCACCACTTACTCTTTTTTAACCTGCACCTATATCAGCTAGTAAGGCTGCAGACTTGACTCATAACATTCAGTCAACACTGGACAACTTCTGAATCTTCAAGTTTCAACGGGTTTATGTGATTCATATCAAATTTCTTCATAAAAGAAAAAAAACTGATTGATTTACTTTATCTAAGTCTATAAGCATATGTCTCAGTGCCTTTTGTCTATTATGGAATATTTTTCTGTCTTTAATTCAATTTACTTGGTTTATGTTTCTTTTGATGTGTATTAATTGGCCTTTTGACTGGATTGCCTACAATAAATACAAAAGACTTCAAAGATTTGTAAGAAATCACTGAGAAGTACATTTCATGGATTTCATATGATTCTGCTTAACTATTATTGCTATTATTCCCTTGGATTCCTATTGAAAAACGTTAGGCTTCATTCAGTAGCACATCATCCTTTCATTCTGTTGTCTACAGTCACACTTCTAGCTGACTTCAAGACTGCCTATAAGCATTCATCTCCTCCTCCTCCGCTGCATCAAACGATGTCTTCCTTGCTTCCCTAAGAATCACGCTCAACTCGTTGTTCCTCATTCGGGTTCCACTCAGCTATGGGTGTTCTCTCGTTTTCCTTTTGTTATTGGATGCTTATTATTTCGGGTGGGCAACTTTCAAAGCGTCAGTCTCTGGGTAGTATTATCGGCTGCTCATGCACATGCACACTCAGCACATCATAGGTATGGCTCCTTACCAATCCCCATGAATATACATATATTGGTTATCGTCATTATTACAAGCACTAAACGACACTTGAGTCTACTTTTCTCCTTCTGATTTGATGATTTGTTTTCCCATCATAGTGTGTGTTAATCTTAAATTGAATCTAATCTGTTGTTAAGTTTAAGTTGTTAACTGTGCATACTTCAATTGGCCTGTTGATTGTTCTCTTCTTTTCTTCTGTTATTCTCCTCTAAAAGCTCTCATATATATACATAATAATAATAATAACAATAATGTTGGCTTGGCCTGAGTTGTGTGTATTAGCTGGAATGTAGGAAAATCCAAAATCTGTTTTTACTTTTTCTCCCTCTTCGTCTTCTTCTCTCCTTTAGCAAGTGTCTTTTTTTATTCTCTCTGTTTGTCGATTCTAATCATCATCAAAAACAACTCTGAACAACAAAAATAAACATAATTAAGGAAGGATTCTCTTCTTCAATTCCTTCAGTGTTATATAGATAGTTTGAACAACATAAATTGTTTTAGTCAACAACAACAACAAGAGAAAACAATCTGTCGAAAACTGATTGGAAGTTTTTTGTTATTCTACTTATTTGTCATTCTCATCATCTCGCATTTTTGGTTGAATTCAGCGTAGATATATGCTCACGCTTATCTGTAAACTTTCGATTGAGAACAGTTAAATGGCTAAAAGGTTAAACTCTTAGGAACAATCATTTTCAATTTAGTAATAATGGTTAATCATAGATAGATAGCTTTAGGTGTGATTGTGATGTGTTAAAGAAACAACTTTATGAAAGCGATGAACAGTATTCATCTTAACTCAGAAGTTGGAATTCAAGACCCATTGGATCCCGTCCCAGTGGCTGATGAATGGTCTATGAGCTTCCCTTGTAACTGGAAGACCCTGGGTTCTAAACCTCGTTTGAAACCAGGATGAAGCAGCTGTCCAGTACTCCGTGCTGGTTTTCATTTGTGGTTCTCTAACTGATATCAAAGAGTTCGCTCTTTTCAAATCTCACTTTCATGTGTGTGTTTTTCTTCAAATCAATGGACAATATAGTTTTAGAGTAGATATGTACATAGATGTTTTACTTGATGGAGTTTACAGCTTATATGGTGAATCAGTACAGTAGAAGTGTTATTTAAAGTGATACATCCCGGTGGTTCACTGGTAGGAATGCTCGTTAATCATGCGTCATGTAATGTGGACTCGATTCCCGGACACACTGACGCACTCTTAAACCTCGGCAAGTTAACTTGGCCATTGAAAGCCTGGGGATGAGGGAATATTTGGCGTGAGGCTATCAACCTCACTTTGTAAAAACAATATCACTACGTCTATCGAAACTTCAAAAGCTTAAGACCCTATGTTCCACTAGAAACTCAAAGGAATGAATAAAGGTGATGCTCGAACACAACTGTAGAATGTTTCATGGATGTATAGCATGGTCGGTTAGTTTATTGTCTACGTCCAAAATTCTTATTCGTTTCAACCTGTGAATAGTTTTTCCTTAGACAGGGATTCATTCCCCAGCACTACCACTGTAGTTTTCCAACTCTTCAACAGTACGCAGCCATGACCTCACCAGGATTGTCGGATTCTATGCCAGTAGCTGAATGGCCTAACAGGTTCGCCTCGCAATCCGAAGGTCCTGGGTTCAACCCTCAGCAGTGGGTGGGGTCACAGGTGCATAACTCTGAAGAGCCCCGAAATAGGACGAAACAGCTGTCCAGTACTCCCTGATTTTAATTGATCTTCTCTGACTGAAATCAGTTCGTGATCCAACTTGAAATTAAATAAATAAAATCCCTGCAAACTAACTTCTGAAAATACTACCGTAGTCCCAGAATCAATAAAATATTCTTGCAAAGCAATAGTCTCACATTCACACAGAACTTAGACAATACGTTTTTCATACGTATAGACTAAACTATTTTTGTTAATACTTTCTTTCTTTTTCCTTTCTTACTAGATTCAAATCAATGTAAAGTTGACGACTATTCAATCCAGTCCGCGATTTCTTACCAGTCTGATAACTTCAAAATCTACTGATGCAAGTACTCTATCGGTAACAGATGATGATGATATGTCTTCTCAGCAAGACAGAAATGCTTCAAACAGTCAATATTATTTTCAGCATATAATTATTCATGTAAATCTATCCGAGTCTACAATGATTGGTAGTCTTGTTTGTCAGCTTTATGTGAATGAAACGCCGCATGCAGGTGCTAGTCAGAAATTGCATTACTCAATAATATCTGTTGAACAAAGTCAAACACGAAGTCTATTCACTTTGAATGAATACACAGGTCAGTTTTGCTTCTTTTTTTTAAAAACTGTTTTCAGTTTGAAAAATTTTTCAGTACTACCTAAGCGTTGTTGATTGCAGTTAACTGGAGTTGATGACAGCAGTTACTTTAGCCGTAGAGGGTGGAAATCTGCTTAAATCATTGGACTGTCTTATTTTTCACAAAGAATAATGCGCTAAAATTACGAGTTGGTAGAAGTTAGCTTTCATGGGCTATTGGATCGGGTCGCAGTGGTTGAGTGGTCCATGAACTTGCCTTGTAACCTGAAGGTCCTGGGTTTAAACTCTGTCGGTAAATGGGTATTGGTGAGGAGTTCCAAACTAGGACGAAACAGTTTCCTAGTACTCCCTGCTGATTTTCAATGATGATTCTTTAAATGACATCAGTCTGCTATCAGACTAGAGCATAATGCATCTGGTTTACTCACATTTATACTTTGTTTTGACCACCTGTGTTTACGTCTTTGAAGAATAATCTGTAATCAAGTGTATGTTTCAGTGGCTTTCAACAAAATCGTTTGGTCTATTTTGAGGGGAAGAATACATTGGAAGTCGGACGGAGTATTTCTAAGTAATAATAATAACTTTTTTTTCTGAAAAATGCATTCATACATATTGTCGCAGGATCCTCAGCATGTTCTGTTACAAGGTGTTTACTTACTGCGGTCGCAGAATCTTCGAGTGGACTAATAATCGATAATAATAAATCGCATCTGAAGCAATGAATAACCTGCTATGCTTTCTCTCCTTGTTTCTTCAAAAAAGAAATTCCATAGCAGTAGCTTGAATCCTTTTTGAAAATAGGCGTGAGTACAAATATTGTGAATAAGAGATGTAATAACATATTAGATGGTTGGTGGCAGTCGGAAAGGGAAGCCTTCAGTCTAGGTTTGGTGACAAGTTTCCGAATCTCAGAAGGAACATGGGTTCTTTCAAGATTGCAGGTTCACCTTGGTGACTGGTGAGTGCCAACAAGCGCCTCCAACCATCTAATGATAGCAATTCATAGTGTACCATGATGGATGGCGAGCCACGTAGTATGGTGAGCACATTGCAAACTTGACTGGGAGAATTCATTCTGCACCAGATGCATGACACTGGTTACTACATGATGTCCAGCTATAAAGTATGTGATTGGATAAATAAAGCATGATATATAGTAGATAAGATACATCTTGATGGATAGAAAATTAGATGTGATTGGTAAATTGTCCAGCAGTGATTTGAGCAGGCCAGCGCCAGATCGAATAAAATTCTGTCGAATGATATACTCATAGATTTTCAAGAGGTTAGCTTGTGGAGATTTGATTTGTTTCAAGTTTACTGAAGGATTAATGTCATTTAAAAGACAGCCATTGGAAACCATTAGGGAGTACTGGACAGTTGTTTCTCTCCCAGTGTTTGGAACTATTGAGCATTACCCACTCACTGGGATGGGTTCGAAGCCAGGGCCTTTTGGTTACAAGGTAAGTCAGCACGGATCCAAAAAACTCGAGCTGCTTTCGTTAACCTACCCCATCTCCGGCGTAGGCGTGACATCCGGCTATCAACCAAGAGACGTGTGTACTGCTCAGCAGTTCACTCCGTCCTTCTCTATGGCTCTGAAACATGGCCAATACGAGTTGAAGACATGAAAAGGTTGATTGGTTTTGATCATAGATGTCTACGATCTCTTTCTCACGTTAGGTGGCATAATAAGGTAAGTAATGTTGACGTTAGGCGTAGAGTGTTGGGCAAAGAGGGAAAATCAATCGACGAGGCTATAAAGTTACATAGATTGAGATGGCTAGGTCACGTGCTGCGCATGCCTAACCATCGCCTCCCCCACCCCGACGGGCATTACTAGCTGATATAGGTGCAGGTTGGAAAAGAGTAAGTGGTGACCAAACAAAAACATGGCCTCATCAATCCATGAAATCCTTGACAGTTAAACTGAATCAGGTAGGGAGGGAGATGCATACTTCCGGGTTGGGGCCAGCCCTCGGGACTCTAAGAATCAATGGGTGGAGACAGACAATAGGTGACATGGCTCAAAATCGTTGTCAATGGCGCAGATGTATTCAGTCTCTTGTGTAACCTTTCATATTCCTTTCTACCATTACTCATTCTGTTTCACTCTTATACTTGTCAAAACTCTATTGATTCTCTTCACTCATCTTCTTGTCTACCTTTGTATGCTATTTGGAATGTGTCAACTGGAACTGCTGCACTTCGGTGCGAAGTTCTATGTTGAATCCAGACAGACAAGGTCAGTCCGTAGCCCATCCAACAGCCACTGTAGATTACTGTTTTACTTGAGGATCCTCTCTTTAAGGGGAATGGATATAATCAAGCTGAAAATTCTTCACTCTGTATAATACATAAAAATGTTGTTCAGAATAAAACTATTATTGTTGTTGTTATTATTATCTGTATAATTATTTACAATTATTTTGTTTGTTTGTTTTGTTTTTTTATTCACTTTCCACCATGGTTTATGTATAGGATACCTTTTTGACATATCTATTACAAATTCTTTCTTGTCAATATGTCTAGGGAATGCGTGCGTTTGTGTGTAGAGTGTAGAGTGTAGAATGTATGTTTACTAAACTTTGATGGGAAGCAATTTTCAACCTTCTTCTGAAATGAAATGTATTCACACACACACGCACACACAATGATGACTGACCTGATGATTAAATCCGATGATTCTCCTGTTCTGTTCGTTATATTTATATATATACTACTATTTATTTACTTATTTATTCGTGTTTATTTTTGTTTACTTATGTTGTTCACCTGCCCCAGCCACCAACGCAACCACCCACCCCCACTCTTTTTATACATTTCATTACACGAGTCATCCTCTGACTGCCTGCTGGATGGAAAACAGAAAAAAATGAAAACGTGTTGTCTGCTGTTTGATTCTTCAGCATCCTTATTTGTTTTTTTTCGGTTTTTTTCCGTTGAAGTCTCACTCTATTGCCCCTGTATAAAATACCTTTCAATAGGAATAGTAATAATAATAAATAAGTAATAATAGTCATTTCCATTATGGTTATTATTATTATTATTATCCCTCTTATTGTTGGCATTATCCTGCCACTCTTCTTCCACTGTTGTTATGTCTGACATCAAATAACTCCAGTGGTATGTTATACTACTACTAATAGTAATAAGAGTAGTATCTGCCAGTGCATGTGTGTGTATGTGTGCGTGCATTATGGGGAGATTTCGCCTAAAAGTCAATCTCTATTCAGTTAGCCTTTCATTTTTTATTCACAATTACAGTTACACACTGACTGTTGTCATTCAGACAGTTTTTAGTAACTGATGTTATAATAATCATAATAATTTTAGTAGTATTGGTACTGTGTATTCATATACAATATGATAGGAATACTAATTGTAAGTTATTGGTTCTATATACGGCTATAGTCTTCTTGTGCGCATAGTTCATTAATAGGACTGTGAAGACAGGAGAAATAATTAATCATCCACAATAAAGTTTGTGTATACGTGTGTGTGTGTGAGCTTATGATTAATCTTCAACTTTGTAGACTTTCTAGAAGCTTTATCTTTGATTCTAACTCGGTGGCGGTTCACAATAGTTGTGAATGTTAGTGCCAACCACATGTCTCATACGGTCACGGGTTCGATTCCCCGCCGACAGACGCACTCCTAAACCTAGCATTGGTGGCACAGTGGTTAGGACTCTCGCCGACCATGCACATGGTCCGGGGTTCGATCCCCTGCCGACGCGCACCTGATATCTATGGTCGGCCTGCAAAAGTTGGGCTACCGATATCCATGCTGAAAATTCCATACTTGTACTGAAAAGACGGTGTGGTATCAAGCTGTAATCAAAAATAAAAATAATAAAAAATAGCTGCTTAGTTAGTAGTAAGCCAATGGTTTGGTGCTACTGAAACTTTAAAGCCTAAGCATGAAACCTTCGTATGTTCCACTGGGAATGCAAAGACACGAAGTTCAACAATTTTGCTTTGTTCAAACATCTTATAAGTCATGATGTAGTAAACTTGCTTTATCCTATGTGATTTTGATTTTAAGCCAATTTCTTACAGCATACTCTTAAAGAACTTAAATAGTCCTATTTCATGTTGAAATCGAATAATTTTCTGAGTCATATTGAAAGAAAAGGTGTTCAATGAAGAGTAAAACTTTTTCAGCGGTATCATTCTCAAGCTGTGTGTACTGCTCATCAATTCGCTTTGTCTTCCTTTATGGCTGTGAGACATGGCCATTGAAAGTGGAAGATGCGAAAAGGCTATCTGTCTGCGTTCTATCTCACTTATTAAATGGTATAATAAGGTGAGCAATATTGAGCTTAGTCTTTGGTCGAGTTCTAGGTAAGGGGGGGGGGAATCAATCGACGAGGCTGTGAAGCAGTTGCATCGATTGAGATGGTTAGGACATGTGTTACTCATGTATTCCTAGCCATCGCCTTTCCCGACAACGGGCAATGTTATTCGCTGATATAGGATCAGGTTAGAAAAGATCCACTGGTGGTCAAACCAAAACATGGCTTCTTCAGTCAATGAAATCCACAACGGTTAGTTTAAGCCAGCCAGCCACGTTGGGAGGCGCCAGACCTCCTGACTGGTTGGGGTCCTCAGTACGATAAAAACCAATGAAGGCTGGAGACAATTGGTGATATGGCTCAAAATCTTAGTTTTCAGTGGCACAGATGCATTGGCTCTTTGTGATTTATAATATCCAATAAAATTCTATTGTTCTTCCATATTACTATTCTGTTTGCCTCATATTTCTGTTTATTATCGGTCTTTTGAATCTCTCTTTACTTTCTTCTCTTGCTTTGTGTGCTACAAAGAGGGAGTGTGACAACTCGAACTGATGTACATCTATGCAGAGTTCTGTGTAGAAACCAGTCGGTTGGTCTGTCAGTCATTTTCAGGCTGTAAAAGTTTTAGACAACAATTATATGATACAGAAAGCATTAACCGCATAGTAGTAGTTTGAGTGACGTAATATAATCGACAG